CGAGAACTTTTCAGTCACCCCTCGTAGTTATTCCATAAAACTAAATCGAGTGATACAGGAAAGTAAAAACAAAGAGGAGGGGGAACACTGGGCCACAAGCGGGGGGGAAAAAAAAACCATGGTCTTAACAGGTAAGATACCCATTGCCCCAGGAAGGGGTTATGTAGAGTGGAAAAAGTAAGGGAGTAGGAACAAAGTAGGAGAGAAGAAGAGAAAGAGGGGATGATTATGATAGGACCAGAGGGGGAGGGTAAGGGAAGGAAAATGGGACAATCATGGTCATCCCTCTCCCTGGCAGGGACTTGGGAAATGTAAGGGATCACAAAGGGGTCTGTAATTGGGGAATCCAATTGATTACGGATAGAGGGAGGGAGAGATGGTTTCTTGAGGACGCAAAGTAGAAGCGGATATCTGAGGAGGGGACTTGTTCAGCATCCTGGCTGGGTGTTGGGTCCAAATTGTATAAAGCATGGAACAGAGATCGGAATTCAGAAGCCATGGCATCCAAGGTGGACAGTTTGTGACCCATAGATGAAATGATGCATGGGACGAAAGTCCGAGCACAAGGACCTCCTTAGTATGTCTTAATGTAGCAGCAGTTCTGTACCAGTCTCGCTCTCCTGACTCATTGCAAGCTTTAAATGCTTTTCTATATTATACACAGGACTTCCTACTCTCTAGCTCCCTGGTCTCCTCCTCCCACGCCCGATGGCAGGATTTCTCCAGCACTTCCCCCATCCTCTGGAATTCCCTACCCCAATCCATCAGACTGTCACCTACCCTCATCACCGTCAGGCGCACCCTGAAGACCCACCTCTTCAGGGAAGCCTACCCCACCCTCACCTAACAGCTCCTCCCACCACTCCATCCCCCACAGCCATTTCCTCCTGTACCACTTTCCCCTCCCTCCTAGATTGTAAGCTCCAAGGAGTAGGGCCCTCGAACCCCTTGTGTATTGTATTGTATTGTTTCTGTCTTGTCTCATGTTCTGTCCCCCTTGCTATTGTACAGCGCTGAGCAAACCCTTTGGCGCTATATAAATACTGTATAATAATAATAATATAGGTAAAGTTGATCCAGGTAATGTCCGATTGCCTCTCGGGGATTATGAAGTAATTTTTTCCCCTATAATATGAATGAATTTGAGTGAATTTTACGGTATCCCTTAAATAATTAAAAACAATAAGGCTATAAATAGCATAAGGATACACTTTCCCCAAAAAAGTGTAAAAAACTGTGAATATGAATATGCTAATACTAATAAACCCAAAAGTATTTATCACGCAAATATATTAAAAAAAAAAAAAAAAAAGTCCAAAAATAGATAAGAAATAAAATTAAATAAATATAATATAAAAAGAAATATAATATTATAAAAAGTCACTCTGTGCCAACTTCAATCATCAATCTTCATATTCAGCCTTTCAATGGCTCACAAAGAAACCTCAACATAAAAGAAAAATCACATAGTGCATTATCTTAAGTAAAATATAAATAAAACAAATGTGATAAACGCAAACAACCATGCGTGATCACAAATAGTGAGAAAAGTGAAAGTGTCAAAACAGTGCCAGTGAATCAATGGAGTTGAGTTGTTTGCGTTTATCACATTTGTTTTTTTTATATTTTACTTAAGATAATGCACTATGTCATTTTTCTTTTATGTTGAGGTTTCTTTGTGAGCCATTGAAAGGCTGAATATGAAGATTGATGATTGAAGTTGGCACAGAGTGACTTTTTATAATATTATATTTCTTTTTATAATATATTTATTTAATTTTATTTCTTATCTATTGTTCGACTTTTTTTTTTTTTTTTTTTTTAATATATTTGTGTGATATATACTTTTGGGATTATTGGTATTAGCATATTCATATTCACAGTTTTTTACACTTTTTGGGGGAAAGTTTTTGGACTTTTTTTTTTAATATATTTGTGTGATATATACTTTTGGGATTATTGGTATTAGCATATTCATATTCACAATTTTTTTCCCAGCAGGAGCAAATTGGATCATGCTTTGCTTTTTTTTTTTTTGCCTTCCTCTGGAGCAACTGTGGGTGTAGGATTATAACTTTTTTTTTTTTCTTTAATGGTTGAAATGGCTGGACTTTTGTCTTTTTTCAGCCAGACTAACTATGTTGGTAGTGCTGACAGTGTGATGTGGAGGACGCAGCTTATTATTAATATAATATAGTATTTATATAACATCAATAATTTGCACAGATCTTTACAAAATAAAGGAATTCAAGACAAGAAGGTTCAGAGGGCCCTGCTCTGGAGAGATTACCTTCTAAAAGGAGGGGTAAGTACCGTATTTTCCGGTGTATAAGACGACTTTTTACCCCTTGAAAATCCTCTCAAAAGTCGGGGGTCGTCTTATACGCCGGTATACGGCATACTGACACTTTTTAGGGGGCGGCGCGGTGCTGCCGCCCCCCCCCCCCCCTTCCAACAGAAGGGACACTAAGTACAGGGGTGGGCAGGGGCTGCTGTTTCTTACCTGGATCTGGTCCCACGACGATCCGGTCCAGGAAGCGTGGCTGCTCCTTCAGTTCTGCCACTGGATGTTAGCGCGGCTGCTCGGCTCCGCCTCCTCACCGGTGATTGGCCACCAGAACTGTAGCTCAGGAAAGGAACACAGGCGGCCAATCACTGGTGAAGGGGCGGAGCCGAGCGGCCCCACGAAAATCAAGTGAAGGAGCGGCCGGTTAGTGTGCAGTGTAGAGGTGCTGCTGCAACCACGTATGCTGACTGCAGCAGCACCATACTAGAACATCGGTCAGCAAGTGTAATTGGTGTCAGTGGGAGTAATAGTGCCCCATCATTGGTGTCACTGATACTAATGATGGGGCATTATTCCTCCCACTGACACCAACGATGGGGCACTATCCCCCCCCCCCACTGACACCAATGATGGGGCACTATTCCTCCCTCCCCCCACTGACACCAATGATGGGGCACTATTCCACCCCCCACTGACACCAATGATGGGGCACTATTCCACCCCCCACTGACACCAATGATGGGGCACTATTCCACCCCCCACTGACACCAATGATGGGGCACTATTCCACCCCCCACTGACACCAATGATGGGGCACTATTCCACCCCCCACTGACACCAATGATGGGGCACTATTCCACCCCCCACTGACACCAATGATGGGGCACTATTCCACCCCCCACTGACACCAATGATGGGGCACTATTCCTCCCACTGATACTAATGATGGGGCACTATTCCTGCCACTGATACCAATGATGGGGCACTATTCCTGCCACTGATACCAATGATGGGGCACTATTCCTCCCACTGGTGTGCATTGGAAGAGGGGTAGTCTTATACGGCAAATATAGCCCAAACACTACATTTTAGCAGGAAAAGTAGGGGGTCGTCTTATACGCCGGAAAATACGGTAATACAAAAGGTAATACCCGAGAAGGATGGATTCATGGCAGATGTGAAATTTCAGGTTGAGGTGGAATAGGCTTCTCTGAAGAGATGAGTTTTCAGGGATCACCTACAGAAGGACAGAGTAGGACAGGGGTGGGCAACTGTGGCCCTCCAGCTATCGGTGAACTACAAGTCTCATCATGCCTCTGCCTTTGGGAGTCATGCTTGTAACTGTCAGTTTTGCAATGCCTCATGGGACTTGTAGTTCTACAACAGCTGGAGGGCCACAGATGCCCACCCCTGCAGTAGGAGATAGCTGGACAGATTAGGGTAGGGAGTTCAGAGGATAGGAGGTGCAGGAAGTCTTGGGAAGCAGGAAGAGGATGCCTCACGTGCAAGGATATCAACCTGAACTGGATGTCAACTATGTACTGATTTCAGCAGCTCTTGGTCTCTCTTGCTAATTAGTATCTTCTCTGTCTCCCACACAGGCCCCCTTTCTCCTGGGTTTTCCTGAAGATGGCGACTCTGACGATGACGCAGGTTTGGAAGCCGAGCTCCTGGCCATCACAGGAGGGAACAAAGCAGCAAACAAGCAGAAACCCAAAGGAAAGAGTGAGTGGTTGTTTCACACACAGTACTTACAACAAAGGGTAATGGATAGTGATGCGTTTGTTGGCAACATAAATATTGTTTTTAGCAAATAATGCACATAGATCAGTATAAATGACTGGAGATCATGTGTTTTTGTAAATATTGTTCAGTAAAGCCTAAATTTAGGTAGTTTTTTTTTTTTTATTAAAAAAAAAGAAAATTCACACAACGAAGAATACTTACATTTAGAGTGTTACTAAACCCACAACAGTAAAATCAGTCTGCGGTAAAGCATGCGTGTTATACTCACTGTGGAACCTAAGGGGTTATTCCTCTGCATTATGTAAAAAGGCTGTTTTGATCCTGTCTTCTCTGATCCTCCCATTCTTCCAGTGTCCCCCTCTTATCTCCTGATAAGACATATCATGTGGAGTCACTCTGCACATGCTCAGTTTGGTGTGTATTGCTAGAGTGGTTTTTCTTTTTTTCACGGGAGAGTGCACGTGATCAGCACAGGGCCAATCAGCACTGTCCAGACAGAGGTCAGGGGTTCTGCATCCTCCTGGAGCAAAACGAAAACTTCTACAAGCTTTAACGTGCTCTGCTGGACACTGATAGAAGTAACAAGACTGCTCTAATTGCTGATGAGAAAAGGTATTTAGCAGTTTATATTTACAAAAAAAAAATTGCACTTCCATGTTCTGTGTACTGTGGGAGACCAGATATAGTGACTGCAAAGTCTTGGGTTTAGTAACACTTTAATGAGAAGTGACTGGTGCCAGCTGCCCATTTGAAGTCCTGAGCCCTGCCCGTCCCTCACAGGACTTCACATTTCAGGCTGTACAGTTGGCCAGCACAAGGGAACTTCTGATTTAATATAAGTGATGTCTCTTGTGCTGATTTAAAAAAAACTTATGCTTTGTGTATGGTGGCTTCTTCTTCAATCACCATTTCTTTCTTTTTTCCCTATGACCCTGTAGCTCCCCTCCCCATGGAACACATCGAACGAATGGCAGCTCTCTGCATGCAGGATATTGATGAGGGTGATGATAATGAAGATGTGGATGATGATGATGAAGATTTAATGGTACGAGCGCAGAAGTACAATGATGGAATCTGTGGCCAAACTGGACCATCTCCTGCACATGATGGCAGTAGTGTTTTTAGGGACTGCAGTAACAGTCGTAGAGATCTGTTGGAGTTGATTTACTAAAGGCAAATAGACTATTCACTTTACAAGTGCAGTTGAACTATACAAGAAAATCATCCCCAGAGCTTAAAGTGGTTCTAAAGGCTTAGGGTCTTGGGCAGGGCAGGGCTGAGCCACGCTGTCGTTATCAATGGATGAAGGCAGCATGGCTCAGGAGTAAGCCCATATGAGTGCCCCCATAGGAAGTGGCTTCCTATGAGGGCACTTGCTGAAGAGGAGAAGCTAGGAGCGCTGGCGGGGGACCCCAGTAGAGGAGGATTGGGGCTACTCTGTACAGAACCTTTGCACAGAGCAGGTAAGTATAATACTTCCTTTATTTATTTTTTTCTTCTTTAAAGCTGAAGGTTTACAATCACTTTGATGAATGAGTTGATGCTGTGCAAACTTCCACCGCCTAATCATGTGCAAGCAAAAATGCAGGTTTTTTTTTCTTGCAGATAAATACCGTATTTTTCGCTCCATAAGACGCACCTGACCATAAGACGCACCTAGGTTTTAGAGGCGAAAAACAAGAAAAAAAAATATTCTGAACCAATGGACTGCAGACACAGTACAGGGGATGACCAGAGACTGCGGACACAGTACAGGGGATGACCAGAGACTGCGGACACAGTACAGGAGATGACCAGAGACTGCGGACACGGTACAGGGGATGACCAGAGACTGCGGACACAGTACAGGAGATGACCAGAGACTGCGGACACAGTACAGGAGATGACCAGAGACTGCCGACACAGTACAGGAGATGACCAGAGACTGCCGACACAGTACAGGGAAAATACCAGGGACACAGTACAGATGACCAGAGACTGCAGACAGTGCAGGGGATGACCAGAGACTGCTGACCTTTGGGGAGGGAGGGGGAGCGGGTACCTGAATTTGACAGGTACCCGCTCCCACTTCCGCGGAGTTGTCTTTCCCTCTTCTTCCCGCGCTGGCTTCTGTGACAGCCGGGTGCCCACTGCGCATGCGCGAGAAGCGCTGTGCTTTGTGAATGGCCCGGCGCCTTCTGGGACCTGCCATGTGTCCCAGAAAACACCGGATCATTCACAAAGCGCAGCACATGCGCAGTGGGCACCCGGCTGTCACAGAAGCCAGCGCGGGAAGACTGTGCAGCGCTGGAGCGAGGAACAGGTAAGGCCCTGCAGGAGAGAACAGCTGAGCGGCCGGCCCGGTATTCTGACATGGTGGCAGCTGAAATACTGGACTGGCCGCTTTATATTCGCTCCATAAGACACACTGACATTTTCACCCCTTTTTTTGGGGGAAAAAAGTGCGTCTTATGGAGTGAAAAATACGGTAATTATTTATTACAAAGTGAAGCTTCACCACTTTCAGAGTGCACAGTGCAACTTCTTTTGCAAAGTGAACAGTGTAGTTGCCTTTAGTAAATCGACCCGTCCTGTGTCCATTTACCTGGAACTTGAAATGTGGAGATTGAGCATGCCGTGAGAACAATTGCAGGGCTATAAATGGAGACAAAACAACCTTCTTGGCAGCATTGTTGAGCAACATGCCCAGCAACAATTAAGTGATTGGTTGTCTATGCTTTTTATTTATATATATATATATATATATATATATATATATATATATATATAAAAAAAAATTTTTTTAAATGGTATCTGGTTACCTAGACAGGAGATGGGGTACAGTTACCACAAAACTGAGAATTATGTATCACTATCTTATTATTTTACAGGCAGAGCTAGATGAAGTCCTGGGAGAGGAAAAAGAGGAACCCCAGATTGTATCGGCTCCTACGAAGGTATTACCACTTCTGTAAACATACTAAAGGCTCACGCACATGGGCTTACAAATAGTCGTGTACAGATCTGTAATAAATATAGATTTGATTGCAGCAGTATTATATGCTAAGTGATTATTCATGCTCCTCCGTTTTGCTCCATAGTGTTCAGCTGTGTTAACCAAAACTAGAAAGATCTACCTTCACTGTCCTACCTATGGACCATATTTTATGTTAAATTAATGTTTACATGCATATTACATGTATTTAGCATACATGGACCCTATTGACCGCCTTTGCTGTTTAGGGCTGATATGTAATCATCAATAGTGTCTAACCAGTGGCAGTGCTGCTGCTGATTACGCACTGTTGACGTTTATATCTCCCTCTGAATTCTTTATTCCTGCAGTGGCACAGGCACAGAATGACCTTGGCCTTTAGTTATTCAGAATCTGAAGACATTCTGCACATATGCTGTTGCTTACTAGTGGAAAAAAAACAAACAAGGGCGCACTCTCATCGTGCATTACCGTGGTAATCCACGTATTTATTAATAAAAAAGGATTATATACTCACAAAGCAACGTGATAAAAAGCAGTAAGGTGGTCCACAAAAACAGTCACAAAATGGCTGTGTCTAGTGATGCGGATATGCTAACGCGTTTCGGGAGCTGTACCCCCTTCCTTAGAGCTAGGGATGTGTCTGGGTGGCCAGCAGACACATCCCTAGCTCTGAGGAAGGGGGTACAGCTCCCGAAACGCGTTAGTATATCCGCATCACTAGACACAGCCATTTTGTGACTGTTTTTGTGGACCACCTTACTGCTTTTTATCACGTTGCTTTGTGAGTATATAATCCTTTTTTATTAATAAATACGTGGATTACCACGGTAATGCATGATGAGAGTGCGCCCTTGTTTGTTTTTTTTTCCACTAGTTGCCAGATTACCCGATCTCAGAAGGGCAGCACCTCTTCGGTTGGCATTTTGACATGTCCTTGGTTTGCATGAAGATTTGAGTGCTGGTTCTGTTTTGTTCATCTTTGGAATATATGCTGCTGCTTGAATAACTGTAATGGCTACACATTGTTGGTGTCGGCCCTGAGCAGTGGTGGCAGCATATGGGGTCCATGTAAATATTGGCACATGTGTAAAGACAACTTGCTGCCAGCAAGAGCCTGCATAAAACAATACACCGATGGTGATAAGCCCAATGTCCACTTGCACTTTGTATAGAAATATACATTGTATAAAATGTGGGGTTCATTAAATGCTCTTTATTACCCTCTGTTTATGGATTTATTTTTTTTACAATTTCAGCAAGGCAGTTGGAAACTTTTTCAGGGCTTTATTGAAGCCCAACAGCAGGGTCCTGAATGCAGCAACCTGTCTTGGCTTAGAGCAGATATCAAATCCCCCCTTACCACCACTAACACCACCCTTCCTTCCCCATCTTGTTCCACACTGACTGAAAATAGCACTAGCACTCTAATATACTTATCTTTAAGCAGGATCAGGCTTCTGGTCGAATGCAATCCTTCTAAAAGAAAAGTATATACAGTATTTCAGGGGTGTTGACAGTAGTTTTTGTAAGCGGGGAGCAAATGATTGGTAGATTTAGTTAAAGGTTTTGATTTCTTTTAAAGAGAACCAGTGATGGTTGTGCTCATGCTGGAATGTGAATTTTCAGTCTCAAATTATGACCCTGCAGACTCACATAGCAATGTATTATTTATTTAATGTTTCTTTTCTTTACCTGAACCTTAGCATTTCAGCTTTAGAGTTTATTTTCTACCAGTGCCTGACACTTACTAAGGCTTGCTGAAAATCCAAATTGCCCCACTTTTACAGCTGATTATCTGGCTTTAATGCTTTGGGAACCACTGACCCAGAACAAGTATTTTGTTCAGGAATGTCAGAGTAAGGTCAGAAGTCCTTTTCTGTATACTTGTTTTGAGTCACTGACTCAAAGTATTAAAGTAAAATGTCGGCTTGACAGCCAGGCAGCTATCACATGATGGCAGCCATTATGTTTCTATCTAGAAAGATCTGTTGTAAAGTCCACTTGTTATAAAACTGAAAAGTCAAACTGAGCAAATGTTTTGAAAAAAAATTGCTTAAACTAACTCCACCTTTAGTGAAAGACACAGGTCAGAATAATCCCTAGATTCTGGAAAGGTAGGTTTAAATTTACATACAAATCTCAACTTTTTTCGATATATTTGAACTTGGCTCCACCTCCTGAGTCATCCTTTCGGTCTTTTAGGCTGCTAATCACATTAAGGTACCAATTAGGAGGCATGGGTGAGCGGAACAAGGCTCTATATACGAAAGGTGCAGCGCTAGTAAACGATATGTAATATATATGCAAAAGTCCCTGGTGGATCAAAAGATATAGGATATGGGGTAGTCCCGTAAATAAATATAGATGGTTGAGGTGACTTTGATATCCGGGTAGAGGTGGTAATGAAATGCGCACTCACCGGACTCGCATATTAAATGCGCCTGCCTTGTATATATTTATCCTGCTGCCAGGTGATGGGTGGTCCTCCCTCTATAGGATCCTAGGTAGGTGGTCCCTCTCCTCCAGAGATCCCCCTATATGGTCCTAGTGGGTGTTGTCACTCCAAATGGCCTGGGTAGTGTGTAGTGATCCGCTCTTGCAGTAGGTCTGTGAACGGTTGTGAAAGTTCTCTTGTATGAAGGAGTTTTATGGGACTTGAATGAAACGCTTGGTGAAATTATAGGCTCACAGTGATAAGGTCAATATGCCTCACGGCTCTCCTCCAGGGACCGGCACCGCCAGCTCTCCCATCAGACAGCAATGACATCCACGCCCCCGCCCTCCAGCACCTTCCACCTCTCAGCCCCTTGACGGTACCACCTCTACCCGGATATCAAAGTCACCTCAACCATCTATATTTATTTACGGGACTACCCCATATCCTATATCTTTTGATCCACCAGGGACTTTTGCATATATATTATATATATCGTTTACTAGCGCTGCACCTTTCGTATATATTGTCTATTCCATAGGTCATTGGTACCTATCTTGTGCATAGCAGTTTGTTGATTTTTACTAAGGCTCTACCTTCAGGGTCATGTCAAATTCGTGCTTCAGAAAGGAGAAGGAGCCACTTACCCAAATGGGTGCCTGAAATACAAAAAAATCTTCCTTGCTAGTGAGGGAGCAGCAGTTGAGTGGCATCTGATTGATGTATGTGAAGCAGGTACTCCATGGGAAAAACCATTATATAGCCAAACGTTTGAGGACACTTGAGTATCACACCATATGAATTTGCTGGAAACCCCATTCCAAAACCATGGCCATTTATATGGAGTTGGCCCTTCTTTGTGTCTATAACAGCCTCCACTTTTCCGGGAAGGCTTTCCACAAGATATTGCAGTGTGGCTGTGGGAATTTGTGTACCCAGCCAAAAGGGCTTTTGTGAGAGCAGTTTCCTATGTTGGACAAGAAGATCTGGCTCACAACTGGCATTCCAGTTGGTCTCAAAGTGGTTCAGTAGAGTTGCGGTGAGGACACTTCAATTCCTCCACAACAAACTCATCCACTCATGTCTTTATGGAGCTGGCTTTGTGTACATGGGGACAGCCAAGCTGTAACAGAAAAGAACCTTCCCCAAACTGTAGCCCAAAGATTAGAACAGCATAATTGTCTAAAATATCATTGTATCCTGTAGCATTAAGGGCACCCTTCACTGGAAGCACTCGAACTTAATAATTTGGAATGGTGTCCACATCTCTTTTTGCCGTATAGTAAGTGTGATGATCGGGTGTCTGCTGACTTTTGGCCATATAGTGTAAATGGTCTCTTAGGTATTCTGTCAATGACAAGGATCTCTTGTCTTACATTAGCCATCCCTTATACATTCAACTGCCTGTATAGATCTAATTTCAGGAATCATTTTATCATGCAGTTTTCACTGAAGGTATCTGATCATTCTGTATATCCTCATATGCCCAGTTTGAATTCCCAGCCTGGTCACAAGTTTCAATCCATACTAATAGAGTGTTGTCATGCGCGAACTGTTGGCAAAAGCAAGAAGAATGTAGTCAGAAGATTGTTGGTTGAGAAGATTAGAGTGAACCTGTGCCAAGGTTAAGCACAGTAAAGTACTGACATATTCTGAATAAGTAGTGAAACAAACTTTACAACAAGCCCTTACTGAAAAGTGTCTGTGGCATTGTGGAGGGAGTAATCTTCAAAGTTCATTTCAGAAGTACTGAAATTACAGCTCCTTTTCCCTTATTAAACCTGTTCAGTCCACATTCCTCCATGTATGTATGATGCCATAAACCTTGGAAGGTCAATTTTAAGGCCTCATTCACACATACTAAAAGAGCCTGGCTAAAATGTGGTCAGAGACTGCAGACACACTGCAGGAGCTGGTCAGAATGAGAACATGCTACAGATGAGACAAGTCATATACGTGTAACATGAGACTGCTGCTAGTAATGAATATATTTATTACATACTAATATAGGGCCGTCAATTTACATAGCACTTATATTGTACATTCTCATCAGTCCCTGCCCTCAAGGAGCTTACAATCTAAGGTCCCTAACTCTCATTCATACATACACATACTAGGGCCAATTTAGACAGGAGCCAATTAACCTACCAGCATGTCTTTGGAGTGTGGGAAGAAACCAGAGTACCCAAAGGAAACGGAGAGAACATGCAAACTCCAGGCAGTACTGCTAGGCAGAAATGCTAACCACTTATGGCTAGCATAGTGGCTAGGTGGTTAGCACTTTCGCCTGGCAGTACTAGGGTCGTTGGCTCAAATCCCAACCACGGCACCACCTGCCTGGAGTTTGCGTGTTCTCCCTGTGCCTGCATGGGTTTTCTCCGGGTATTCCGGTTTCCTCCTACACTCCAAAGACTTTCTGGTAGGTAATTAGAATCTGTCTGATTCTATGTGTGTGTATGAATGTGAGTTAGGGACCTTAAATTGTACGCCCCTTGAGGGTTAGGGACTGATGTGAATGTACAATATATATGTAAAGTGCTGCGTAAATTGACGGCGCTATATACTGTAAGTATCTTTTAAATAAATAAATTACAACCCCATTACAAATCAATAATTCCACATTTCTGCTCCCAACAACCCCCCTTAAATTATTGTAACACATTTGATATTTCTCTCCATAAGATCCATTAGGATGAGAAAAGGGGTGAACGGAACAGAAAAAAGGAAGATGGTGTGAAAGTAAAGTAATACACAATTTAACTATTAGAACCTTGTCTTAAGAATATTTCTTTTTTGCTAGCTTCAGTAAGCACCTGGGGCCCGAGGGTCGCACCTGGGGCCCGAGGGCCATACCATAAGTTCCAAGGGGCCATAGGTTGTGTACCAAGGTTGTAGTGTTTGAGTTGTCTTGATTCTCATCTCACAAACTCTTTGTCCGTCAGAGCACTCCTTCCTCAGCTGGCGGTATCGAGGGGTACTTTGACAGAGCGCCTGGCTATGTACAAAGAAGCTCTGGCCAATGCCAAGCAGGCAGGAGAAGGGACCAAAGCGCGGCGATATGAGAGAGGGGTTAAGGTACTGTTATAGCTCAAATTATTGCTGTTCCTAATGTCTTGTTTTTTTTCTTTCATTCTCTTACAACAACTGGTACCTTTTTTAGTAAGGCCATTAATTGTTGCTGTTTTTTTTTGTCTTTCTTTCTGACAATCTGAAAAAAATACACTAAGGCATCCTTTCTTAAAGTGATTGTAAACCCTCACTTTGTAAAACAACCCATTCAGTTTAAAATAGAAGTAAAAGGTAAAACATTTGTGTATAGATATAAAAAAAAAAAATAATAAATACATTCCTTTTTCCCATATTATTTTTTTTTTTTTTTTTTTTTTTTTTTTTTTTTTTTTTTTTTTTTTAAGTGATCACATTCCCTCTGTTGTCAACTGCATCAGAGCTGGGGAATGTGAAACAGCAGCACACACATCTTTCCCAGTGAATGGCTGTGTGGGGAAGGGGGTGTAGCGTTTCTGGACAAGTCTGATCATTGGAGGAGAGTTGGCTGAGTTCCCAGCACTGCTGAAGAACAGACCACAGTTTGCTCTAATGTCTTCAGTTTTTAATAGGAAAGTAGAGGGCCTGGCAGGAACACCAGGGAGTTCACACATAGGAAGCAATACAAAGAGAACAGGATACTTGTTCATATAAGTACATGGTACAGCAGGCACATATCATCAGGAATATAAAATGTTGGGTTACATATTCTTTAACCTTTCCTCTCCAAGGCAACCCGTTTCAGCTCCAGGGAACCCCTCCAAGTACTCTTTACTGAAAACACCTGAACTCCATGCATTGGAGGGGTGATCATTTTTGGCCATATAGTGTATACTGTGAGCTGTTTGAGAAGGAAGCACGCACAGCACACCTGATGTCAGGTCCAGGTTGTGATTGCTACTATGGTCCCATAGTTGTACGAACATTCAGATGAAAACATTTCATAGATACATTCAATATTGCCATCAGAGACTGGACAAATCTCATTTGAAAGTAATTCAAAAATTTGTTTGCTTTTTGATTTTGGAAATAGTAGATTTTCCTGAATGAAATCCACTGTTAGAATATTGTTCATTGGAGAAAGGATGGACAGACATCCTCTCCCCCTTTTTTTTTTTTTTTTTTTTTTTTTTTTATTTGTCACTATGGTTGATTTGACCCAACTTTGAAAATTAAATATTCTAAAAAAAAAAAAAAAAAGCTAAATTCTGCTAGTGTATGGCCAATTTAATGTGGAACTAAACTATATCTGAGCACCATAAACTACTTAAAATACTACTTAACCTCTTAGCACCACCGTTACGCATATATGGGGTCTCCTGGGGGGTGGGCCTTAACGCTGAGAGACCACATATATGCGTACATAAACACAGCTGTGCCAAGACTGCGTGCCCTGCGTGCTCCCAGCACAGTTAACGGCAGCTAACAGCTCCTGATCAGAAATCCCACTCCACCCCCGCTCCCCTCTCTCACTGGCTGTGATTGACAGCAGTGGAAGCCAATGAGGAGGTGGAGAGCTGGTGTCTTGTGAATCGAAATTGGGCTCAGGTATTTGGGGGGGGGGGGTTGCACACTGAAGGTTTTTTACATGAATGCAAGCTGGTAAAAAAACTTCAGCCTTTAAAACTGGAACTTTTGGGTGGAGCTCCGCTTTAAGGTGCATCATATTTTTTACAGTGCAAGATTTATTGCAGAATAGCAGTTTAAAGCATGTACCTGTGAACAAACAATGTGTGCAGTAGGTTAGATATAATATGATGCTATCATGTATGCACAGATCTATCTTGCTCATTGTTCTCATTTGGTTTCTTTATTTGTGTGTGATTGCCCTTGAGGCTGAATCTGCTTATATTTTGCTTTTCCTCCTTATCCACATGCTAATGGAATTATTAAAATCTTTGTTTTCTTTACAATCCTAATGTTAGATCCAGTGACATCATCCCTGGGTCTCTGTGCTTCTTTATTCATTGCAAACAGATCATGGCTGGTGGGAGGAGCCAGCAGGGTGCTGTACATAACTTTCTAAAAACATGAGGCAGTGCTAATGCCCGCTTGTGATACTGAGCCTCCATGATTAAAAGAACTGAAATCCAATGAATGAATAGAGCAGGCCAGGAACTGTGAAGCTGGGGGGAGGAAAGGCCTAGATGGTGCTGGACGTACTTCAGCCAGGAAGTGAGGCGGGCTCTATTTTTTTTGTTGCAGCTTCTAATGGACACTGTGAGAACCTCACAGTATGCAGTGAAATCAGAGTAAGCTGTTTTAGTATAGGAGGGAGGTTCAGCTTTAGGCTCCATGCACACTAGCTTAAAAAGCACTTCTCCTAGAGAGCTCTTTGCCTGTAAATGCAGCTACTGTTATCCTATGTAAAAACCAAAAGTATATATCCCAGCGCCAAAAAAAGGAAAAAAACTATATGATTATGCAGCTGTGCACCAGTGAAAAAACACCAATAATAAACACTTAACACAAAAACAGCGCAAAATCTAAAATTGAAATAACACAAATAGATAAACACTAAATTTAAACCAGGTCTTGAGAACGCCCTGTGGGTGGGGCGAAACGCATTGACGCACTTCCGGTCCGCCGTCATTCTGGTTAATGTCACTTCAGGTGTTTGGAACGCACGCCGGCTTATGCGGTTCAAGCGGCCATCTTGGAGGTGGAAGGCTGTTCATCCTCTGCAGTGACTATAGAAGCGTGAGATCCCTATATCTACATTCTGAAAATTTGTTATCTTGAAGCCATTGAGGCTATTAAACAAGGCTTTTAATTTTATTTAAACATGTGAGTGGCCTTATTCTATCTTTATATTTTATATGGAGTGGCAGTATTACACTATGTCGTTTTTTTCTCTGCACACCATTGAGAAATCCATGGAGAAATAGAGTGGAGACGAGGGCTATACCAGAGCAGGGTGAACAAGGAGATTTGAGTTCCTTTGGAGGGGTTATAGGATCCCTTATATCCTATAAGGCTCACTACTCACCTCCATCTGGTGAGTGCGGTCAACATTATTTCTCACGTGGTGGATAGGTGGAAGCACATTTGGAAGATTTTTGATTGATTTTTTATTGGTTTGATGGGAATAAGGACTTATATATATTTTTTTTCACGGACACTTATTATAAATTTAGTGTTTATCTATTTGTGTTATTTCAATTTTAGATTTTGCGCTGTTTTTGTGTTGACTGTTATCCTATGTGTCCATGCACATTAGGTAGTCTAAAGGCTGTTTTTAAGCTCAGCGTTTAGAGGCAGAAAAAAACCCCTTCTGTTTAGCATTTTTTTCTGCCAGAAAAAATGCTAGCAGAAAAAAAACACTCAAAATTAGCGTTTTTTTCTGCCGAGAGCACTGGCGTTTTTTAGGCTAGTGTGCATGGACCCTTAAAAGAAGACTGGAAGGGCCCAAGAAGTATCTAAGGTCACAGTACAACTAAAGTGCAGGTACCTTGTGGTGACGTTGACTACTGTGTTGGTGTTCAGATTAATTCTTGTGGCCCTGTGGATCCCCGGTATTCTAGGCCCAGGCAGTACGCAGAACCTTGACTTTTTTACCCATGTCATCACCAAGCCCTACCCACTGGAATTTAAGAGTCCAATGCCAGAGCCTGTACTGAACAGTGAGGCTTTGGAATTGGACTGTTAAATATTGGAGGTGGTGATTCTGAATGCCAACCCTAACAGAGCTCCAAATTCAAGTGCTAAGGAAGGCCTGACTGTCCCTGACCTGCCTCTTTCATTTATTCAATTGTAGTTCTTTGAAATGTAGAGGCTCAGCACCATATGTAACCATATACCTAGGGCAAATGGGAAGCTTGGTACAACATCCTGCTGGTCCCTCTCACCAGTCATGATCTGGCTGCACTGCATAGAGAAGCAGAGAGACCCAATGATGACATTGCTGGGTTTAAAATAAAGTATGTAATAATAAAAATGAAAAGGTTTTATTTGACAATTTTGTTAGCATGTTCATGAGTTGGGGGAAAGTAAGGACCAAGGAAGGCAAAGTTTAAGCAGATTAAATTTCAACTTTAAATATTGTTGTTGCCTAAGACACTTTTTGAGCCCCGGCACAACGAGAGGAGACTGCTACCGGAGGGGGAGGGGCCTGAACATGGCGCCGTGAGCAGCATGAGCTCCAGGCGCCCACCATCCACTAGAGATGCCTAGTTCCTGACCGCCCAGAGCTTGCCTTGTGGAGGTGGGGAACCCTGCTGAAGTTGGGCCCCTGGTACAGTTTGGCGGTCGGCGGCGGCGGCTGTGAGTTGCACAGGAGTCCTGGGATCACAGCGGGCTGGGAGCAGGATGCAGCGGCTGGGAGTGTCCATGTGACGGATGACTGCCCATGTGATAGGGAAGTCTTAAAGGTCCGGGAGAGCAGAAGGCTCTGCGGATGAAGAGGAGACAGAGCTCTGGTGGGATCCCACCCGGTGCCGGGACACTAACTTCAGGAGACCCAGAAACACCCCAGATCTTCACCAATGTATAGAGTCCCCCCCCAGGTGTGCCTGGAAGCTTGGTTCGGAGGCCACAGCTGGAGCCAATGGCAGGACATTTAAGTTTCTGTTGATCTGATGCATGTTTGATAAATCAAAAAATACCTGACCAGTGGGGGTGACAGAGGAACATAAAGAAAAGGAAGGCGCCTCTAAGTGTAGTATTGACGATTTAATAATAGACAATTTATGAATTGCACTTACAAGATAAGTGTTAAAAGGCTCATCGTATAAAATCTGTAGTTCCTGGTAGGAAATCCAGCCATCCAGCGGTAGCGCGGTCTGTGAGAGTCAGGAAGTAAAAGCAGGGATAACTGTTTCCAAAATGAGGCGCGCAGCGTCTGATGTGACAGGAGATGGGGACGGTAACGTGATTCGGAGCATGCCAGTATGCTCCTTCATCAGACCTAAGCCCCAGTGTGGCGTATTGGTTGTATATTTTTTTTTTTTTTTATCTGGTTATTCATTATAGCAGTCTGAGAATGATCCTTGTCTAAATGGAGAAAGATGAGGAAGGGATATGCCTCTGTAGGGTTGTGAGAGGCCCATACAAGGATGAAGCAAGCCGGATTTAAGGCCTGCAGAGAATATAGCCACCTCCACACAGAATGCAGCTGCCCATCAGACTAGCTTGAACAATTCCACACAATGTGTTGACTGCTGTATGGTGGAAGGTTTTTGGCCCAAAAAGGAACCGGGGGTGAAGGAGCTCAATAAATGGCCACCAGAAGAGACACAATTCTCATTGATTCGAAGATGTAAGGGAACTGTCTGTTCTCTCAAGATGGTCCATAAGCCGGGAGTTCAAGAGTGAAGCCTGTGTGCATGTAATGGTTATACTACATAGAACAAAAAAAAATGAAGGGGTGCCTCTGCCAGATTCACCCTCTGGGCCGCAGGGCAGTATTCCAACATAATGACCCCAAAAAACACCTCCAAGACAACCACTGCCTTTCTAAAAAAGCTGAGGGTAAAGGTGATGGACTGGCCAAGCATGTCTCCAGACCTAAATCCTATTGAGCATCTGTGGGGCATCCTCAAATGGAAGGTGGAGGAGCACAAGGTCTCTAACATCCACCAGCTCCGTGATGTCGTCCTGGAGAAGTAGAAGAGGACTCCAGTGGCAACCTGTGAAGCTCTGGTGAACTCCATGCCCAAGAGGGTTAAGGCAGTGCTGGAAAATAATGGTGGCCACACAAAATATTGACTCCTTGGACCCAGTTTGGACATTTTCACTTAGGGGTGGACTCACTTTTATTGCCAGCGGTTTACACATTAATGGCTGTGTGTTGAGTTATTTTGAGGGGACAGCAAATTTACATGTTATACAAGCTGTACAATCACTGCTACAATGTGACGTAAAGTGTCATTTCTTCAGTGTTGTCACATGAAAAGATATAATAAAATATTTACAAAAATGTGAGGGGTGTATTCACTTCTGTGAGATACTGTAACTATCATACTTAAAGAAGGGAAGGATAGCTCACAGTGTGCTAGTTATAGGCCCATAGCCTTACTAAACTTTGATACAAAATTGTATGCTAAGGTATTGGCAACTAGACGGAAGGAGCTGATGCTGGAGTGGATGCACCTGGATTAGGTAGGATTCATCCCTGAGAGAGAAGAAAGGGACAATGGCCTGAGATCATTGCTCCTCTTACGAAGAGTAAAGAGAGAGAAACAGCCGACAATATTCCTGTCAATTGACACCGAAAAGGCTTTTGACAGGGTCAACTTGGGATTTATGTTTTGACAAGTTAGAGGTCTTAGGTCTAGGGCTTAAAATGTTAAAGTGGATAAAAGGGCTCTATAATAGTCCGTTAGCGGCAGTTAAGGTCAACAGATTCCTCTCTCGTTTTTTAAAATATATATACTGGTACTAGACAAAGACATCCACTCTCTCCTTTGTTATTTGTATTATCCCTGGAACCCTTCCTGGCAAGGGTAAGAAAGTGTGTAGATATAGCTGGAATAAAGATAGGGGAGAAGTCGAGCATAAGGTGCCAGCATACGCAGATGATATGTTATTCTATATTATAAATCCTAGAATAACGTTGCCTAATTTAATGAGACTTTTAAAACCGTATGGTGAGCTATCAAATTTGAAAATAAACCCTGCAAAGTCAGAGATTTTAAACATTAATATCTCAAAGCTAGAGTTTAGTCTACAAAAAGATTTTCCATTTACTTGGAGGGAAAAGGAAATAGGCTAACTGGAAATAAAATTAACTCCTTCAATAAAAGGCCTATACCAGGCAAATTATATTCCATTAGTAAATGAAATAAAGGATGAGCAGGGGGGACTTTTAAAGGGAAGAGCCTCCTGGATTGGTCGTATAAACCTGGTAAAGTTGGTGATACTACCAAATATCCTGTATAAGTTTCACATGCTCCCAGTGCATATACCAGGGTCTTTCTTTGGGATAATAAAGAAGATCCTCTGGTTTATATGGGCAAATAAGAAACCAAGAATTAGTTATGAGGTATTGTGTAGGACAAAAGGGAATGGGGGTTTGGGTTTGCCTAATTTTAGGAAATATTATTTAGCTGTAATATTATCGTGAATAGTGGATTGGACATATAATGCATAAGGGATCTTGAGTAAGGCACAGTTAGGGAAGATTGTCTGGATACCAAATAAATTTTGTATATTCGATGTTAATACTAGTCCATTGAAAAAGAAAGTTTTAACTGTTTGGGATATAATATATGAGCAAAAGGGATGGAAATATAATTCAGTATTGACCCCCTTGGTGGGAACAGAGTATTTCCCCATAGGAAATGAATTAAATATAAAAAAAAAAATCCATGTTTGAAGGATATATTAAAGGGAAATTTCACACTTTTCAAGATTTAAATAAGAAAAAAGATTTGTTTTTCACATTAGATGAGTGGCGGTTCTGTCAATTAGGTAATTTTGTTTCAAGGCTCCCACAACCACTGAGGACGCTGGAGGATTTGTATCCATTTGAAAAATTCTTGAACGTAAATATACTGTAGTTCCAAAACAAGCCATCTCTAAGATCTATAAGATCCTTATAGATATGGAAGGAGCTGATCCTCCCTTGTCCCTGGAAAAATGGGAAAAGGAACTTAGAATTGAATGAGCAACAGAAGAATAAAATATTTAAACTATCACATGAGGTGATGAATATGAACACAGCTGAAATGAATTACAAATGTTTGACGAGATGGTAAATTACACCGAGAGTGTGGCACATAAACCACAAGTAGATGTTTCACCTTTATGTTCGAGAGGTTGTGGGAATAAGGGAACAGTGGCACATATATGGTGGGATTGCCCGAATATACAGGACTACTGGAAGGAAATAATCCAATATATTCAGGAAATATGTGGGATCTCCATACAGAAAGACCCGTGGATGTGTTTATTTATTTTTTAATTTTGAGCTTTTAGTGAAACTGCATAAAAATAGGGTATTATATCATTTAATCAGTGTGGCTAAGGGCTTGATTCCCAAGTTCTGGCAAGCTCCGGAGCCACCAAGAATAAATGATTGGATAAGTAGAGTTTATAATATTTATAGGATGGAGGAGTTCTATCATAGAGTAGGATAAAACTGAAAAATTCAGGAAAACGTGGAGTAGTTGGTTAGACTTTAAAACCTCTAAAAGATATAACCGGAACTGGTTGGAGTTTAGGGGGGAAAAGTCTAGAGAGATTTCGACAGAGTATCTGAAAGGTAGAGTGGAGGTGGTAGGGAAGGGATATAGATAGAGAAGCATGAGAGGGGATGGATACTAGGCAATAGAATGTGGACAGGGGCAACTGGAAGGGGGTTAGGGCATAAGGTGATGTAAAATGGAATTTATGTATATGTGAAGTGTTTGTGTATAAGGTTGTTCTTTTTTTGTACTGGAAAATTTAATAAAAGATGTAATAAAAAAAAATCCCCAACGGGTTCACTAAAGCAACCCATAGATTGCGTTGGATGCTGGAACTGGAACCCATATTGACACAGTGATGTAAACACCACTCTACTTTTTGTCTTCCAGACCTTAGAGGATTTGCTGCGTACCGCTAAAAGGGGCGGATCCGTGTCACCTGACGACATCCCTCCTCCTGTGGCTGTGGGAAATAGCGCCAGTTCCCCTGCAGCTCCACCCGCTGCTGTTGTACCAGATCTTCCCGTAAAACCAACTCCTCCTGCAAATGGTATACCTCCTCAACCTCCTGCATCTGCCAGAGCTCCTCCCCCGGTACCTGTCAAACCTCAGAGTCTCCCACAGCCTGTGACCTTGTCTGTGCCAACGACATCATCTGCACCAATCACTCCCATCACACCAGTCACTCCAAACAGCACGTTGGCAACCTCATCAACACCAGCCAGTCTCATTTCAGGTAGGCGGAGCTCTCAGTCATGCACCTTATTTATCAAAGCATCTTAAAGAGAACTGTCTGTGTTGCTACAGAACAGGCAATATGCCAGCTTATATTTTCCAGTGGCAATTTTATTTTGATCAGTTGCTATTGGGAAATGAAAGTGACACTAAAGGCTTCTTGTGTGTTTATTTTTTTTTAATTAACCTTTTGGCGCTGGCCGAATGCAAATGTGCAGCCTCCTGGCATCTGGGCCTAGACGCCAAGCGGCCGAACATTTGCGTTCTATTAAAAAAAAACATGCTGAGAGCGTGCGCCCTGCACACTCCCAATTGACTTGTTCGGTACTCACGGAAAGGTTCCGATCTCCTCTTGCAGTCGGGACCTTTCCCGATCATGTGACAGCGAATCACGGCGGTCACATGACCCTAAAACCCTGCACGCCTCCCGGCTTCTGGATCCCTTATAGGGCTGGGAGGCGCCGGCGCCAAGGGGTTAAGTAACATACATCCCATACTTACCTCCTCTGTGGAGTGGTTTTGCACAGAGCAGCCTCCATCCTTCCCTGCCTGCACTTCTGACCCCTCCTATCGGGTGCCCCCATAGCAAGAACCTTGCTGTGGGGGCACCCAAGCCACTGCTCTGTGTGTCCACTTACACACGGAGCCACAGCTTAGCCCTGCCCCCTCACTCCTCATTGGCTGACTGTGATTGACAGCAGCAGGAGCCAGTGGCTCCCCACTGCTGTCTCAGCCAAGGAGGGGGCAGAGCCCAGGAACAGCCAAGGCTCCCGTGCACATCACTGCATTGGGATGGGGCCCAGGTATGTATTAGGGGGGCTACACACTGAAGGTTTTTTTTATCTTCATGCATAAAATGCATGAAGGTAAAAAAATCCTTGAGCCTTTAGAACCACTTTAAGACTTCTAATAATATAGACATTGGTGATTTTGCATTGTAACAGTGTCTGTATTCAAAGTACAATGTTAGAATGTAATTGGTTGGTGTGGTAAACACAGGCACATTTTTGCCAGATCCTGTTAAGTAGTATGGTGCCCAAGTCTTCTTTGTCTCAGCTGATTGATGTTTTTTTATTATAATAGCCGATGGAAACAAAGCACGGGTGCTGGAGCGTCAGAGGCAGTATAAACTAGCAGCACTGAAGAGCAAACAGGAAGGAGATGCGGAACTTGCCAGCAAGTATTATCGGATTGCAAAGGTGATTCTAAAACGATCTATAAGACATGCTGAGCATATGGCCCAGTAAAAAGGCAGGACCAGGAACACAACCCTTCTGGCCTTATGTTTCAGAGCCTAGGCACCTGGGATGCTTAAAGCGATAGCAAGTGTTTTTTTAAAAAAAAATAACAAATGGGTTTATACACTGCTCAAAAAAAATTAAAGGAACACTTTGAAAACACATCAGATCTCAATGAAGTAAAATTTCATGTTGGATCTCTATACTGATATGGACTGGGTAATGTGTTGGGAACGTAAGGATGGCCCATCGTTTGATGGAAATGAAAATTGTCAACCTACAGAGGACTGAATTCAAAGACACCCCGAAAACCAAAGTGAAAAAATGATGCAGCAGGCGAGTCCATTTTGCTGAAATTTCATTGCAGCAACTCAAGATGGTCCTCAGTAGTTTGTATGGCCCCCATGTGCTTGTATGGATGCCTGACAACGTCAGGGCCTGCTCCTAATGGGTCCTGGGTTGTTTCTTCCCAGATCTGGACCAGGGCATCACTGAGCTCCTGGACAGTCTGAGGTGCAACCTGACAACGTTTGATGGACCGAAACATGATATCCCAGAGGTGTTCTATTGGATTTAGGTCAGGCGAGCGTGGGGACATTCAATGGTATCAATTCCTTCATCCTTCAGGAACTGCCTGCATACTCCCCCCACATGAGGCCGGGCATTGTCGTGCACCAGGAGGAACCCAGGACCCACTGCACCAGCGTAGGGTCTGACAATGGGTCCAAGGATTTCATCCCGATACCTAATGGCAGTCGGTGCCATTGTCTAGCCTGTAGAGGTCTGTGTGTCCCTCCATGGATATGCCTCCCCAGACCATCACTGACCCACCACCAAAATGGTCGTGCTGAACGATGTTACAGGCAGCATAATGTTTTCCATGTCTTCTCTCCAGACCCTTTCACATCTGTCACATGTGCTCAGGGTGAACCTGCTCTCATCTGTGAAAAGCACAGGGCGCCAGTGGTGGACCTGCCAATTCTGGTGTTTAATGGCAAATGCCAATTGAACTCTGTGGTGCCGGGCAGTGAGCACAGAGCCCACTAGAGGATGCCACCCTCTTGAAGTCTGTTTCTGATTGTTTGGTCAGAGACATTCACACCAGTGGCCTGCTGGAGGTCATTTTGTAGGGCTCTGTCAGTGCTCATCCTGTTCCTCCTTGCACAAAGGAGCAGATACCGGTCCTGCTGATGGGTTTAATCACTTCCATACCGAGCACTTTTACACCCTTCCTGCCCATACCAATTTTCAGGTTTCAGAACTCACACTTTGAATGACAATTGTGCGGTAATGCAACACTGATTTTTTTTATCATGCTTTTTTTTTATCATTTTGTTCACACAACTAGAGCTTTCTTTTGGTGGTATTTAATCACCACTAGGGTTTTTATTTTTGCTAAATTAACAAAAAAAGACCAAAAATTTTGAAAAAAAAAAAAAAATTCTGTTATACAGATTTTCAAATAAATAATTGTTCTTCATAAATTTAGACCAAGATGTATTCTGCTACATTTCTTTGGTGAAAATAACCCAAATCAGTGTTTATTATTTAGTCTGTAGGAAAGCTATACAGTTCACAAACTATGGGATATATGTGAAAATTGAAAGTACTGACAGCCAATCTAATTTCTTGAGGCCCAAAAATGTCAGAACAGTGCAGATATCCCCCAAATGACCCCTTTTTGCAAAGTAGACAGCCCAACGTATTTCATAAGAGGCATGGCGAGTTTTTTGAAGTTGTAATTTTTTTGTCATTTTTTGGAAAATGAATTAAACAAAAATTTATTTTCACAATTTTTTTTTTTTTTTTTTCACATACTGTCACCAGTGCAGTACAGCGTCATCATATAACTGGTGTGGTGACCAGGGACACTGACTGGTAACAATACAAAAAAAAAAGATTTATTTTTTTTATTAATTTTTTTTTCTTTTTTTTTTTTTTACAATTGTCTTTTCATATTTCACTATGACCAGAGTAGTCCAATGCAGGGGTGGACTGACAACTAATGGGGCCCCCGGGCAATAGGGGATCATGGGGCCCCTGTGTCCTTGCCCAAACTCAAAAAAGCCTATGAAAAAGGTACCAGGGGCATCTCATGGGGCCCCCTACTGACCCTGGGCCCTCGGGCAGTGCCCGAGTTTCCAACTGCTCAGTCCACCCCTGGTTCAATGTTATCATAGTAACATTGTACTACTTTGGAGAAGTGATCAGTATTTTTTTTTTTTACACAATATGATTGCCTATAGCAAAGAATTTATTTGCTATAAGCAAGCATTTATCTGAATGAAATCGATTCACTCTGGTATTTTTGTTGTAATTAGCTTTTATTGGCCACGGCTAATCACATGGCACAGGTGGGCTGTGATTGGCTCGGTCTGTGCATGTGATCACTGTGACCAATCACAGCTAGTGACACAATTGTATACAATGGATGGCATGAAAGGAAGCCATCCATTGTTTACAACTGTCATGTGACCTGCTGTGATTGGTCACAGCAGGTCACGTGGTACTGGCAACGGCCGATACACAGTTCTTTCATCGGCTGTGTCTGAGGTACACAGCCTGTGACAGATCTCTCCACAGCGTGGCCGTGCAGGCACACGCTAGGCTCGACCCGGGAAGGACATCATATCACGCCCACCCGGATCGACGAGAGACCTGCCCGGCCATCTTTTTCCTATTGGCTGGGGCAGGAGTGGTTAAGGACCTGCTACAGCCCTGTCCAGCTCTCCTAGAGTAACCGCCTGTCTCCTGGAATCTCCTCCATGATCTTGAGACTGCTGGGAGACACAGCAAACCTTCTGGCAATGGTACGTTTTGATGTGCCATCCTGGAGGAGTTGGACTGCCTGTGCAACCTCTGTAGGGTCCAGGTATCGCCTCATACTACCAGTAGTGACCCTGACCCTAGCCAAATGCAAAACAGTCAGAAAAGATGAGTTGGGAAAAAACTGTCAGTGGCCTCCGCCTGTAAAACCATTCCTATTTTGGGGGTCGTCTCACTGTTGCCCATCTAGTGCACCTGTTGTTAATTTCATTAACACCAAAGCAGCTGAAACTGATTAACAACCCCCTCTGCTACTTAACTGACCAGATCAATATCTGTTTAACTGACTTGATGCTATACTCTGATTAAAAAGTCTTCCTTTAATTTTTTTGAGCATTGTACTTACCTACTCTTTGCAATGGAGGACACAGCGGGCACCGGATCGCGATGCTGCGCGCTCCTAGGGAGCGCGCACAGGCAGGGAGCGGGGAGGACATTTATAAACGGCCACCTGCCCCTGCACTGCTCCCTTCCGGCCGTTTATATACATGGGCTGGACAGGAAGTGGTTAAACCCACTTAAGTACAAGAATGAAAAATGAAAGGGACGGGTGTCACTGGGACTGGAATGCATATACAAAAATAAAAATCTCACCCCCCCAACAAAATGTTTGACTTCCCTCTAAATCTTCATATACACAAATATACTTAAGCGTAGGCCCACACCACATGAGGGCCATGTTTACCTGCACAAGAATGCACAACAGTCCCACACATCCTTGTGCAGGCAGTCCTATTTATGTCAATTGGGAGGCAGCAGCTACACAGACATAGCCGCTGTTCCAAATATGAAAGCTGTGTGGGTCCCCTGTGTTCAGGGACTCACACGGATGTCAAATTTGGAGTATCAGCTGTGTCCATGCAGCCGCTGCATCACGTACACTTAAGTACCCCCATGTGGACGAGGCTTCAATGCAAGACTTGTGTGCAGTGTTTGTGTCATCTTTATGCCATTTGTAAAGTGCCACCTTCCTGTCCTTTTCTTCTTGCAGTCCCTTGACTCCTTGCTGTCTGCGCTGGATTCTGGACAGCCAGTAGACTTGAACAGTCTCCCTCCACCACCAGGTGAGACAAGACTTTTCAAATGGTTTGCCAGCAGCAGGCGTTTTTGGAAACTGAATTAAATGACCTAGGCATGCAACTGTTTCTTTGATGAGTTCATTGGTTCCTTTAACCTCCCTGGCGGTATTCCTGAGTGTAGCTCGGGGTAAAGTTTCAGTACCAAAAGCGGTAACCCCGAGCTACACTCGGGCTTACCATGCAGCGCTGCTCCAGCATCTGTTCTTCACTTACCTTGTCCTGCGCTCCCGCGATGTCCCCCCTGCAGTGTCCCCGGCAATGTAATCCGGCGGATGCCGGCATCTGTCATCTAGGTTCCGTCCCCTGCGAGCGTCGGGACATACGGGGGACGGAACGGCGGGAAATTTGAAAATGACCAAAAGTGACATTCACTCAATACACTAAAATCACATAGTATAACATTCCTGTATCAAACCATTTCACATACATTTTGTCCCGAGTGCTTTGTCCGGCGCCCTGCCTGCATTTGTACCGTTCTTTCTGCCTGGAAACTGAGAAACGTCCATGGCGTCCAAAAAGCGTCCCTTTAAGTCAAAAGCGGTTTTAGACCGGCTAGAGAACAGTGATAGTAAATCAGAACCACTTGCAGAATTGAGTGATAATGATTCGTGGGGAGATTCGTCATCGGACACTGAAAACGATTTTGCGACTTTGCTCAGTGATGTGCAATTTTGGAGTTATATTTCAAATTTCAGTGTTTTTGGTTTGATTATATTATTGAATTAAATTTATTATTATTATTATGTTTTATGATTATTTATTAAATTATAATTTATGATTTCGTGTTTCAAATTTTATCATACCTGGGATGTTTACTAGACTCTTGTTCGGACAGATTTCAGTGAGTTATTCCTAAAAATTACAGCCTACAATAAAAAAAACTCTATATATCCATGCAAAAAAATGTACCGCTTTGAGCACAGAAATATGGACATAATCAGACCGCTAGGGAGGTTAAAAAAGGATTTGTTTTAGATATGTATGAAAGAAAAAACAAAAAGGGCGCACTCTCATCGTGCATTTCCGTGGTATACCACGTATTTAATAAATAGACAAGTAGATATATACTCACAAACCAATGATAAAAACCCGTGTGTGTGGTCCACAACAGTCACAAATCGCTGTGTCTAATGTGCGGATTATATGACGCGTTTCGGGAGCTGAACCCCCTTCCTCAGAGCTTTTTTTTTTTTTTTCTTTCAGTGGTTAGATTTCCCGATCTTTGAAGGGCAGCACCTCTTCGTTTGGCATTCTGACTTTTTTCTGGTTTGCATGAGGATTGGAGCGTTGGTTTCGTTAATTTTTTAGATATGTATGAGAATGTGTTTAGAATAAATTGAAAAAGAACCGCAATGTATGGGAATGGTTTGAAAAGTTTGTTTCCATGTACGATTTGTAATAATATACACTCACTGGCCCCTGTATTAGGTACACCTTGCTAGTGCCAAAAAAATCTCCCCCACACCATTAGACCACCACCTCCAGCCTGGACTGTTGGATCCATGCTTTCATGTTGTTTACGCCAAATTCTGACCCTACCATCTGAATGTCGCAGCAACCAGTCTGCCTATTCTCCTCTGCGCTCTGGCATCAACAAGGCATTTTTGTCCACACAACTGCTGCTCACTGGATATTTTCTCTTTTTCAGACCATTCTCTGTAAACCCTATAGCTGGTTGTGCGTAAAAATCCCAGTAGATCAGCCGTTTTTGTATTACCCAGACCAGCCCGTCTGGCACCAACAACCATGACACGTTCAAAGTCACTTAAATCCCCTTTCTTCCCCATTCTGTTTCTCGGTTTGAACTTAAGTAAGTGATCTTCAACACGTGTACATGCCTAAATGCATTGAGTTGCTGCCATGTGTTTGGCTGATTAGTAATTTGTGTTACCAAGCAATTGAACAGGCGTACCTAATAAAGTGGCCAGGGAGTGAAGAAGGGCAGTACAGTGGCTAAGTGGTTATCACTTCTGCCTAGCAGCACTAGGGTCATTTGGTTCGAATCCCAACCAGGGCACTACCTGTCTGGAGTTTGCATGTTCTCTCTGTGCCTGTGTGGGTTTCCTGCCACACTCCAAAGACATGCTGGTATTCTGTTTCATTTTTTTTTTTATTGGATCCTGTCTAAATTGGCCCTAGTGTGTGTATGTATAAATGTGAGTTAGGGACTTTAAGCTCCTTTTGGGTGCAGGGACTGATGTGAATATTCAATATACACTATATTGACAAAATAATTAGTCGACCTGCCTTTACACGCACATGAACTTTAATGGCATCCCAGTCTTAGTCCGTAGGGTTCAATATTGAGTTGGCCCCGCCCTTTGCAGCTATAACAGCTTCAACTCTTCTGGGAAGGCCGTCCACAAGGTTTAGGAGGGTGTCTATGGGAAGGTTGGACCATTCTTCCAGAAGCACATTTGTGAGGTCAGGCACTGATGTCGGGGGAGGAGGCCTGGCTTGCAGTCTCCGCTCTAATTCATCCCAAAGGTGTTCTATCGGGTTGAGATCAGGACTCTGTGCAGGCCAGTCAGGTTCCTCCACCCCAAACTGGCTCCTCCATGTCTTTATAGACCTTGCTTTGTCCACTGGTGTGCAGTCATGTTGGAACAGGAAGGGGACATCCCCAAACTATTCTCACAAAGTTGGGAGCATGAAATTGTCCAAAATGTCTTGGTATGCTGCCGCCTTAAGAGTTCCCTTCGCTGGAACTAGGGGGCCAAGTCCAACCCCTGAAAAATAACCCCCCCCTCCACCAAACTTTACACTTGGCCCAGTGCAGTCAGGCAAGTACCATTCTCCTGGCAACCGAAAACCCAGACACATCCATCAGATTTCCAGACAGAGAAGCGTGATTTATCACTCCAGAGAACACGTCTCCACTGCTCTAGAGTCCAGTGGCAGCATGCTTTACACCACTACATCTGATGCTTCGTATTGCACTTGGTGATGTAAGGCTTGGATGCAGCTGCTCGGCCATGGAAACCCATTCCATAAAGCTCTCTACGCACTGTTGTTGTGCTAATCTGTAGGCCACATGAAGTTTGGAGGTCTTTAGCTATTGACTCTGCAGACAGTTGGCAACTAATGCGCACTGTGCGCTTCAGCATGCACTGACCCCGCTCTGTCATTTTACGTTGCATACCACTTGGTGGCTGAGTTGCTGTTGTTCCCAGTTGCTTCCACTTTGTTATAATCCCACTAACAGTTGAGCGTGGAATATTTAGTAGCCAGGAAATGTCACGGATGGACTTATTGCCCAGGTGACAACCTATCACGGGACCACGCTTGGAGTCGCTGAGCTCCTGAGAGCGACCCATTCTTTCACCAATGTTTGTAGAAGCAGTCTGCATGCCTAGAGGCTTGATTTTATACACCTGTGGCCATGGAGGTGATTGGAACACCTGAATCCAAAGATTTGGAGGGCTGACCAATACTTTTGGCAATATAGTGTGTAAAAGCTGCGCAAATTGACAGCGCTATATAAGTACCCGTAATAATAAATATATGTATATAGGGCAGTCATTTTTGCCTCTTTTCTTTTTAAGAAGCCAGTGCACCCATTATCCTGTAAATGTGATCATTACAAATGCAGTAAAGCAAAGCCACCACGTTGAGTTTGCATCAGTCAGTGGTGAATTACCATTGATAACCATAAGTCACGGTATTTTGAGATTTGTCTTATAAACTAAGAATAGTAGATTTTGAAAGCTGGCTTGCACTTTTCTTTCTTTCTTTTGTTTTTTTGTTTTTTTTTTTTTTTTGTTGAAAAGAGTTTATTGAGAAAATGAATAGAACAAAGATCCTCAGTTGCAGAACAAACAAATATTACATACAGTAAAGCTTGATGAAGCATGCATAAACGCATCTACTCCAGCGAGTCCTATAGGTGCAAAAGCAACACAACTGACAGTGAACACCATTATTGACGTGTAAAACTCAGACCACAAATACAGCAGTGTAAGAATCATAGATGCCTATTGCCAGATCTAGTGTACTTATACCCAGGGTATCCAACCATAGATCCTAGAGTTTTTTTTTATATGTATGAGAGCAAGCCCTGTGCTGGTAAATATATTTTTCTATTCTAAGAGCGCAGAAAAACGTCTGTATGCAACACATCTGGGTCACCTTTTTCACCTATTTGTATTGTATTTGGTTATAGTTTTCATTATGGGATGTGTTGTGGGGCTGGAATTTAATATATTGCTAGGGGGTAATAATGGTGGTTGGTGACATGATTTTGCTGGGGAATATTAGAAGGGTGCTATCAGATCTTTTTACCTTGGGGATTATTAGCAACACTTGGGAATATCGTGTTTCTCGGAGATGATATTTTGGTGTCGGTTCAGGGTATGATGTGGTGCTGGAAGATAATATAATAATGGGGCTATTATTAGGGCTCATGTACACTGCAGCTGATAAACTCACGTACAGCGTCAGCATTTTTTTTTTCAGCAGCCCCTGAACTCTCCCTAATGTTTTCCTATGTGTCCTTGTACACAGAGTCGTTTACAGTCGTTTACAGGCATTTGAGTTTACAGTCGTTTTTGTGAACGCAGAAAACTTTTGTTCAGCAGTCGATTTTATCAGCGTTTCAAATGAAAAATGCTTGTAAACGCGGGAAATCGCGTTTATAATCGTTTGCATGTGAACATTTTTTTTTTTTAACTCTTCCAGTTCCCGATGCTGTCCAGAGCCATTTTTCATCATGAAAAATGCATGCAAAGCATTTTCAAGGTACTCAGATGGACACAAGATGTTCCAGCAAGCTTGTCACACATAGTAATGACCAATTCACACCTCAGACCTCTCCCACCCTTGGAAACAAAAGATATGTTAATGACCATTCACACCTCAAATTCCTCATGAAGACCCCCTGCCAGGTGCCCTTAATGACTCCCTCCACCAGACACCTTTCCCACCCTTGGAAACAAAAGAAATGTTAATGAGCAACTCACACCGAAGCTAATCTCAACACATACTGCTGTCTCTGCTTCTACTCTCTGTTTTTCTTCTCTGAAATAGTTAATAATTTACTACTTTTCAGCGCATTCTGGGCATTTGGGAGGTTCTCCTGTGCTTATCTGTAAAAAACGCTTCTAAACGCAAATGCGCATAAACAGACGTTTTTTAACCTACGTTTTCCAGCAGTCAGTTTCCATCATTCAGAAGTGTCCCGTGTACATGGGGCCTTACACAGAAAATGTTGTTTGCTAAGGGCAACATGACATTTTTAAATTTTGCACTCCGTAAGTTACTATTGCTATTCTGATGTGGTCTTCTTGTTTACAAGTAATATGGCAAATTAAAAAATTATTAAAACCTGTCCACAGCAGATGAACAACCATCCAGTAAGCTGTTGGTCCCCCAGTCTCCAGTGAGCACAGAGTCTCCAGTCTCCACAGGTGAGTACTGCTCATTCTTTTTTGAGCATGCAGTTCATACTCTTGTATGTGTCATATTTTTTTTTAATTCCTTATGTATTAATATTTTTGTTGGCTTTTCCGTAATGTAGACGAGACAACTGTACTTCAAAACCCATTAACACGTTTTAACACGTTTTAACGTTTGCAGCAGCTTTTCAGCTATAACCACGTGCCTCTAGGCTTTGACTTTGCTTATGTGCAATGGAATCAGTGCTTTGTTTACACTCAGAGTGTCTTTGTCTTCACTTTTATTGGCTTTTGAAGCACTTGGCACTGCATCATAGGAGGAAAGGGAGAGGACATTTACTCCCTCGTATCCAAAAGTATCAGGTATTTCCCAGAGCTCCAGCTAACAAATGAAGGGGCGCAAGTAGGATGCATATCTACTGCTATTGTGAACACTGCATAAAAGGCTGCCCGGGGCAACAGTTATGTTGTAGATGAAAGTATGTACATTTCTTTGGCTTTCATTGAGGGACATTTCATTTTTTTTTTCTCAATCCCTTCTAACATTCTGCTTAAACTTTGTGATTTGTAATAGTACTGCTTGGACCTGAAGAAGGGGACATACCCCGAAAGCTTGTCCTCAAAATTGTTAGTGCAAATAAAAAAAGTATCACGGACAGTACTCAATTGTTTCCATTGAGGGACACAGAAATTTAGAGACTATTGGGTTATATTGCCAGCATCAGGAGTATTTGGACTTTGGCAAATAAAATAATTATGGTCAGTCCAATATAACTCCCAGCATGCCTTAGCTTTTTTTGTAATGACCAGGAGGATGGACATCTTCCCTCTGCTCTGCTGAGAAAAGTCTAACCTTTTTTTTCCAGCCATTTTTCTTCAGTCAAGAATCCTATAAGAGATGCTTACATGCGACTATACAGATCCGCATGTTCAGCTTTGGAGGTTGTACCCAGACCGCATTGAACTGGTCAGTTGTGGGGCCAGCCTAGAATGTGATCTTCAGGCACTGCATTGTAGCAGTTTTCTAGACCTAATTGCCCCGTGTTAGCAACAGAATGTTTTCTGGGTACAGAGTTGCTGCACAGCCTGAGGGGGTGACCCTGTCTCAACCATGTGTGACTGTGGAAGGGAGTTAGCACAGAGGGACTGGTCACTGATGTCATCCGCTAGGTGGCCTGTCAATCACTCTCTGTGCTATCTTCAGTGTTTAGGAAGCACCTTTCTGCTTCAGCACATGACTGCAAGTGACACGTGGATGCATCCTAGGTTTGTTTCTGCTGCCCATCTACAGTGATCTGGTCTCTGCCTGAAGCCGTTCAACTACCAGCAGCTGATTCATTGGTATTCAAGGCCTAGTCTTGTACCCTAAACTATGCTGCCGTTGCCTTATGGTGCAGCATGTCAGGACCTAGAAACATTGGGGGGGGAGGGGGGTGTGATGCTTTTGACGTCCGGCGTAGAGGGAAAGAGACACATGCTACCCCCCTTTGTCATCCTTCCTCGATAACTTAAGTTACGTTTCGTAGCACTCATCTTCCCTCCCCCCCCCCCCCCCCCTCCTTCCCTACCCCTCCCCCTCCCCTCCTTCCCTACCCCCCTCCCCCTCCCTCCTTCCCTACCCCTCCCTCCTTCCCTACCCCTCCCTCCTTCCCTACCCCTCCCTCCTTCCCTACCCCTCCCTCCTTCCCTACCCCTACCCTCCTCCTCCCCTACCCTTCCCCTACCCTCCCCTACCCCTCCCTCCTCCCCCTCCCCTCCCTCCCTCCCCTACCCCCTCCTCCCCTACCCCTCCCCCCTTCCCTCCCTCCTTCCCTACCCCTTCCTCCTTCCCTACCCCTTCCTCCTTCCCTACCCCTTCCTCCTTCCCTACCCCTTCCTCCTTCCCTACCCTTCCCTCCTTCCCTACCCTTCCCTCCTCCCCTACCCTTCCCTCCTCCCCTACCCTTCCCTCCTCCCCTACCCTTCCCTACCCTTCCCTCCTCCCCTACCCTTCCCTCCTCCCCTACCCTTCCCTCCTCCCCTACCCCTCCCGTCTTCCCTACCCTTCCCTACTCTCTCTCTCTCTCTCTCCCTACCCCTCCATCCTCTCTCTCTCCCCCCCCCCCCCATTTTTTTTTCTTTCTCTCTTTTCCCATTCTTTTGCTGGGACGGTGCTTCCGGCTTGCTAAACTGAACATTTTCATACCTGACCTAGAATCACATTATCAATCAACGTACCTCAGTGTAATTTCTCCACATCCACCGTTCTCAAAAATGTTCTCTAATGTCAATGATTCCATGTTCTGGTCTATCATGAATCTACGCACGATATTGACAATAAGTTCTTGTGACCATAGTTACTCAAAACCTCTTTATTTTTTGTCTTTCTAGATTCACATCCTCCTCTTAGTTCTCTAAGTTGTTGTTTGGGGCCTGCCCCCTCATTCTTCTGTGTTCAACTTCTATGCCAAGTTTTTTTTTTTTCTTTTCTTTCTTTTTGTCTGACTTACTCTCGTTATAAGGCTAGATGCTTCTAGCAAACTGTTGTATCAATACAACCCATGCGTTTGTCTATGTTTGTTTTTTGATGCTTAAGAAATCTTTATTGGAAAAAAGAAAAAAATATCAGGACCTAGAAACATGAGGAGTGGTCCTTCTATACTAGGTGCCTCCAGCTCACAATCCACTAGCGCCTCTTGTGCTGCCTGCAGTGCAACAACTGAAACGCCTGAAACTGATGGCTTGAAATTTTGTCCTCGGAGCCTTCCCTAGTCCATCGGGTGTGGCCCCCCTCCTTGGTTCTATGCCAGGAAGACTTCATTGTAGTCGTGGGAGATTTTATGGGCCAAATTGCAATTTTGCAGACTCTGATTGCAGTGGTTTTATGCATTCTTCCACACCTTTCACTGTAGAATCTTTAGTAGATTTGCTTATTGTATTCGCAGCCTCTTAGCCCTTGGAATTTTGGGATTGTCAGATGCCGATTCCCTTAAAGAAGTCGTCTCATTTTAAATAAATTCCTTTTCTATTCCCTCTCCCAGGGGACCAAGTACATATAGCACTTGGTCATGTTCAAATCTTTCCCTTGGTTGTTAAGCAGTGAGGTCAGACAGCTCGCTTCCCCCTGTCCGAATACGCTGCTAAGAAGGAGCTAGTCTGTGGCAGCAGGGACCACTCTGGAGACCAGTCGTGCCATGTTTTCAGTATAATTACCCTATGTATCTCCATATATTATATGTTCATAATGCCCAGTGTACAATATATTGACCTGAAAGTGGGTGGTGCACTTGCATTGCACAGTTCTGCAGGTCTTACATTTCTTAGCAAATGGTGAGTAAAAGTGGAAAGTTTAGCCTCAGATCAGAGAAAGACTTTATTAATTTGCTTGTGCTAATTCAGGGGTGGGCAAACTGTGGCACTCCAGCTGTTGTGGAACTACAAGTCCCATCATGCCTCTGCAAGTCATGGTGCAACTGTCAGCCTTTCAATGCCTCGTGGGACATGTAGTTCCATGACAGCTGGAGGGCCGCAGTTGCCCACCCCTGTGCTAATTCATGTTGTTTGATAAGATAAGGAAGTGAGATGGCAAGCTGCTCTGATTAGTTGTGGCTAGATAGTGGGAAGGGGTGGCTAGATAGTGGGAAGGGGTGGCTTAGTTGTGGCTAGACAGTGGGAATGGGGTGTTGCATATACTGTATTGTATTACAAATAGTCAAAATAATTACAAATATTTTTCTAGGTCTAATACTTCATATATGTATGTTTAACAGCCTAAATGGCATTTTAGCTGGAGCATACATTAAGCGAAATGATTCCCCATTACAATCATGCACATGATGAAAATTATTAAATAGTGCCTCTCTCTGCCCACAATTAAGCCATCCCTGTCGCAAACGCGCGCATCCGAGATGGACACGGTTCAACCATTTTGGTTTCAGACTCCATCTTGCTAAAGGTATCCATTTCCCCCTCATTCCTTCCCCCTCCCTTCCTGAGAAGCACAGTGACAGATGTGGCTGGTTATGGGTCACTGACAGGCCAAGGCACCTAGTTCAGTGCCTAGCAGTCTGTGGAAGTGTAGCCTTTCTCACCTAGGCCAGGATAACTCAGCTGTCCTAGGAGAATTGGAGACTCACTTTCCCAGAAGCTGTAACATTTCACACCTCGTAAGGAGATAAGGCAGCTTTCCCGGGAATTGAAAGAATTGTAACCTCATAAAACCTAGCTCCGCGTAGGTGGCAGGATCAGATAACTGCTGGTAAAGTCAGTTTTTCCCCTGTGTTTCATATCTTGAAATATGGAAGACTTACATAAAAACCGGGCACCTCGTCAGATGGCCAATGCGCAGACGAACATTTTGTTGGGTCACTCGTCCACCTCAGATCAAGGGAGCCAAAACATAGAACTCGTAGACCGTGTAACGTACAATTTCATAATTCATATCTACATGATCCTTAGACTTATCTGGATAATAACATACCCGCGTAGAGATTGTCGCTTGTGCAGCTGGGAAGTTATAGGCCAGAATATGAATTAGGAAAGATGCTGGTTCTAATTTTGGGTTCCGCCTGCCAATCCCTCCCTAAACAGAGTATTGGTCAGTTACTCAGAGCCACCCCCCTGCTGGGGGACTTTAAAAACAGGCTAGCAGGCCTAAAGAAGTAAGTTGAAGACATCTCCTATCTTTCCATCGTAACATATGGAGATCAAATCTCGCTTCTGCTCTGCAACTTGGATCTGCTGACCCAGGGCTTTGGCAAGTACTTTAACTCTTCCCTTTCTCTCTGATATCTCTTTGTTTGTGCTATGGTTCTTTGTGTGTGTGTGTATGTATATATATCTTAGTTACATCTTTTTTCTGTAAATATTTTTATTGCACCCTGTTTGACCTTTTAGTAATAAATCTTCCTTTCTGAAAGTGTTGAACTGTTTCTATAGCTTTTAATTGCAATTTACGAATCCCTGCCTTTAATCAGATGCTACTGTTTGTTTAGCCCTCTGTATAAAAGACCTGTATTATGACCGTTTTATACAGACGATTATATCGACCATTATAGTGTCATAGCTGAAGCCGAGTTTCCTCTTTCTCTGTACAAAAAAGGAGGTGGTGGCAGTGAATGGTTAATTGCGTGATTAACCTGACCCAGTAACAAGCGCATTCAGGCTGCAGGTACAGATTGTAGTCCATTAGCTGAAAAATCGCTGTGCAGGGTGCAGCTGGGTGTGGCATTGTTACGCATGTCACATCGCAATTTCCGATTGGCCAGTCCTTCAGTCACAAGTTTGGTGAGAAGGTCAGGGGTCTGACGCCGTGATCGTGACAGTCCCTATTGGCAAGAGTTCCATTTTAATTTCTAGACCTTCTCCTGATTGCAGCTCCTCCTCCACCTCCTAAGGACCTCTTAGAGGCCTTGCAGCAGCGGATGGAAAGATATCGCAGTGCAGCAGAGCAGGCAAAAGGGAAGGGTGATGATCGCAAGGCACGGATGCACGAACGTATTGTGAAGGTAAGAAGAGCGTAATCTTATCTCGCCTGTGAAGGTTCTCATCTATCCAGGTCTTAGTGAACCTAGTAGTAGCAAGTCACATTCTTCTGGACTCTCTGTCTTGTTGAAAATATTTTGTAACTTCCCCAGGAAAAGACCACAGCATTTATATCCACACAGGTAGCACAGACAATGCAATTCAATCACTATGGAATATGTAGAAGTTGTTTGTCCATAAATAGGACAGAAGGTATATAAGCCGTGGACCACCCTGTTCTAGTTACGTAATCCATTCCTTGGTGTCAGGAAGTCTGCATTGGTGTTAATTCTTCAATTATCCACTTCCCATCCGGCCCATGTATATAAACGGCCGGATGGTAGCAGTGCAGGAGCGGGTTGTCGTTCATAAAAGGCACCTGCCTTTTAGCCTGTGCGTGCTCCCTGGGACCGCACGGCACCGCAATCCGATTGCTGTACAGGACCTTTGTGTGAGGTCCCGATCATGTGTTCACTGATTGGCCAATCGGTGATCACATGAATAGTAGTAAGCAAGATGTCACTTCTGACATCATTGCTTACTACGTGTTAAATCTGTGAACGATCACAGAGATCACATGGTACAAGGCTATTCACAACAGCCTTGTACCATGTGACAAGCTGTGACCAATCACACCTCGCACAGTATTTCAGAGAGAAAGAGAAATGATTGCTTTTACAGCCTTTATGGGTGTAAAAGCAATCCATGTAAAAAAAAAAAAAAAAAATCTTCATGACCCCCCACAAGTAGTACAGTGTCACTATGGTGAAACTGTACTGCTAGGGTGACAGTATGTTATGCTGTTAGTGTGGATGGAGGAATCCGTTGAATTGTGAATTGTGATGCATTGTGTTTTACTTCATTGCTTTTGTGTTGTAGTGCATTGAAAGTCCATTTATAATGAAAAAGCTTAACGGCAGCCAAAATAAAAAAACGAAACAAATCAGCACAAGGGACATAACTTACAGTCAGTAGGATGTGTCCCTTGTGCTGATGCTACTTTTAGTTGAAATCCTCCTCCGTCTGTGTTTTCTCCCACCCCCACCACTGCTGTCATACTCTTTCAGTGCTCTGAAGGTTAATAGAACTAAAGGGCTGTAACAGGCTGTCACCAAAAGAGCCCAACTATGCCCACCATTTCCTCCTAGCCCCATCGTTCATAGAAATTGAAAAAAAATAAAATAAAAATTTGTAAAAAAAAAATTTTTAAATTATGATTTTTGGTTATAAACAAATTTGGGTTATTTTTTTTTTTTACTAAAAAGATAACTGAATAAATTTTGGCCAAGATTTCTGAAGAAAGATTATTTATTTGCAAAATTTTATTAGAAAAACACTTTTTTCCAAACATTTTGGACTTTTTCATTGATATAGCAAAACAAATAAGAATCCCAGTGGTGAATAAATACCACCAAAATAAAGTTTTTTTTATCTCTCTCAAAAAATTAATATGGGTACAGTGTTGCATGGCCGCGCAATTGTCATTCAAAGTGTGACAGCGCTGGAAGCTGAAAATTGGCCTGGGCAGGAAGGGGGTAAAAGTGTCCGGACTGGAAGTGGTTAACATGGCTATAAATGTGATTTTGTAAAACAGCAGGGATAGGGGTGCCATTTTAACACCCAGCTACTCACTGGAACTGAAAATGGCTTGGTGAAACTAAGAAAGGTCTTAAACATTGCAAGTCTACTACTAGCTAATCTGATCCTTCTCTTCTCCTTTTGCTTGTCTGTCTGTCTAGAAACTTATTTCCTACATGTTTGTACATCTTTGCATTCCTGATCACAAATATTAATGCAAACGTTAATAGAAACAGGAAGGCATGTTAAGCTTTAAACTGCACATGTGCTGCCTTTTGAATTAGCGCTTTGACTGGTAACCAGTGCTCTTGATGCCAGCTAGTTTGTAGAATTAAAACGCCCCACGCGTTACACCACCAACCATGTGGCTTCGTCGGGGAAAGTCCTTTCCCCAACGAAGCCACGTGGTTGGTGGCGTAACGTGTGGGGCGAAGCTTAGTGATGTTAGTTCCGGTCACGGGCTTGCGGGCCAGAAGTTACATGCTGTACACCGATCTTTACCATTTTTTAAAATGTATGGAGAGATCCTTGATTTATGATCGTATACGGTTATTCATGGTGTGGCCTCAGTCAACTCTCTACCCTTTTTATTGAATCGCTATGCTTGGTTGACCTATAATATTATATACAGAGCTTAAAATTTCGAGTCTAGACCTACTAGCCAGGCACAAACCTTACTCTCCACCAGTTACCCCACCCAACCTTGCCCAGGTCCGCCCCCAACCACTCCCCCTTAAAGCTTATGAAATTACATTTTTCTTTAGAATAAAGAGTCCAAAATATAAAACTGTATACAGTAATGTATATCCCCCTCCCCTGTACTCCATTATAGTGATATGACGTGTATACAGTAATCATTACTGTATACATGTCATCACTATAATGGAGTACAGGGGAGCTGGGATATACATTACTGTATACATGTCACATCACTATAATGGAGTACAGGGGAGGGGGGATATACATTACTGTATACATGTCACATCACTATAATGGAGTACAGGGGAGGGAGGATATACATTACTGTATACATGTCACATCACTATAATGGAGTACAGGGAAGGGGGGATATACATTACTGTATACATGTCATATCACTATAATGGGGTACAGGGGAGGGGGGATATACATTACTGTATACATGTCATATCACTATAATGGAGTACAGGGGAGGGGGATATACATTACTGTATACATGTCATATCACTATAATGGGGTACAGGGGAGGGGGATATACATTACTGTATACACGTCATCACTATAATGGAGTACAGGGGAGGGGGGATATACATTACTGTATACATGTCATATCACTATAATGGGGTACAGGGGAGGGGGGATATACATTACTGTATACACGTCATCACTATAATGGAGTACAGGGGAGGGGGGGATATACATTACTGTATACATGTCATATCACTATAATGAAGTACAGGGGAGGGGGGATATACATTACTGTATACATGTCATATCACTATAATGGAGTACAGGGGAGGGGGATATACACATTACTGTATACATGTCATATCACTATAATGGAGTACAGGGGAGGGGGGATATACATTACTGTATACATGTCATATCACTATAATGGAGTACAGGGGGGGGGATATACATTACTGTATACACGTCATCACTATAATGGAGTACAGGGGAGGGGGATATACATTACTGTATACATGTCATATCACTATAATGGGGTACAGGGGAGGGGGATATACATTACTGTATACATGTCATATCACTATAATGGGGTACAGGGGAGGGGGATATACATTACTGTATACATGTCATATCACTATAATGGAGTACAGGGGAGGGGGATATACATACTGTATACATGTCATATCACTATAATGGAGTACAGGGGAGGGGGATATACATTACTGTATACATGTCATATCACTATAATGGAGTACAGGGGAGGGGGATATACATTACTGTATACATGTCATATCACTATAATGGAGTACAGGGGAGGGGGGATATACATACTGTATACATGTCATATCACTATAATGGGGTACAGGGGAGGGGGATATACATACTGTATACATGTCATATCACTATAATGGGGTACAGGGGAGGGGGATATACATACTGTATACATGTCATATCACTATAATGGAGTAGGGGAGGGGGATATACATACTGTATACATGTCATATCACTATAATGGAGTACAGGGGAGGGGGATATACATTACTCAGTATCCTCTAGTCCCCCGTGGCGGTGGAGAGGGTGTCTCCTCTCAGCGGAGGAGAGCGGACCTCTCCTGGATCTGTCATCTCAGCGGCAGTGCCAAAGAAGCCGGAAACCGGAACTCGGCTTCACAGTGAGGCTTGGAGCGCAGCCGCTCCATCATCTGTGCTTGCCGCTCGAGAATTTCTACTCGCATTTGCAAGTGGGTGAGCGGCTTTTTCAAGCCCTGTATAGATCCATTTCATGGGGTGAGCGGCCATCCATATCCGTAGGTGGTGGTGCACTTTATGGTGCGGTGGAGCACTGTTGTTTTTTGGAACACGTTTTTATTCAAGCACATTTAGGCACCATATTGGATTTGAACTTTCACACTATAAAGACTGTTTTTCTTATGTATCATTTTATTGAGGTTAATGTGTTATGAGCTAGCAAAACACTATTATTTCTGATTTATTTAGTAAAAATTGTATTTGCATTTCTTCTGTGCTTGTTATATACCTGTCTCCCCATGTGCATGCGTGCTTTTTACGTGTTTTTCTAAATATTTTTTATCCATCTCTTCTGTGCCACCTTTCAGCAATACCAAGATGCCATCCGTAGCCATAAGTCTGGAAAGCCAGTCAATGTAGCAGAGCTACCGGTGCCACCAGGTCTGTATGAACAGTTCAGCCTGCTGTTGGTAATATAAAGGATAAGTGCTTTATTCCCATGATAAGCAATAAGAATTTTAACGACAACTGCAACCTTGTTTTTTACATCCAGATTATAATGAGCCTCGTCCACGTATCAAGTCAACAATATAAATGTTATACCTTTTTTTCCACATAAGCTACGATTTTGCCATTGACTGCTTTTCTTTATGTATTTTTTTTAGGGTTTCCTCCAATCGAGGGATCAAATGCTGCACCTGCAGAGCAAAGTTTGGTAGGAGTGTTGGAGACGGCAATGAGGTTGGCCAATCAGCAGGAGGGAGATGGTGATGATGATGAGGAGGATGAAAAAGGGAAAGCCTCATCTGTTGCACAGAAGGTTAAGCTTTGTTTTTGTAATGGGGGTTATAACATTCAGGATCACTTGACTCCTGCCACATTACTTTTCGATTTGGGTAAAATAGAAGTTAAAATTTCTGTCACAGTGGAGATTTTCACTCACTTCCTTTTCCTGTGACACCAGGACAAACAGTGTGGGTTGTGGTTGTCACTGGGACACAAAGCCACAAGGAATAATATAAGTTCTAAACCTTCACTACTCCTGTTAAAATGTGTATCTGTATCCTCATTGAAGAGATTGCCCTTCACTTACTGTTCTGACAGGGAGTGAGGAGAAATCTCTGAAAGAGGGATTGAAATGAAAACCTGATAGAGACTAAAACCCTTCCATGCTCTATCCAAAACTAAATTAAGAGTTTTGGCTCGAGCTGAGTTTTACCTCTTTTGTGACCAGAAATAATTGAAGCCCAGATGCAGTGTGTGTCATATTTAAAAAGATTTCAAAGGTACATTTTTTATTTTGTTAAATAACAAACATGTCATACTTACCTGTTCTGTGCAATGGTTTTACACAGAGCAGCCCTGATCCTCCTCTTCTGGGGTCCCCCAACAGATGTTGATGTGTAGTGGGGATACTGACAGATGTTGATGGTCTACTGGTGATACCGACAAATGTTGATAGTCCACTGGAACACTGACAAATATTGATGTGCACAGGGAGACTGTGACAGATGTTGATGTGCACTGGGACTATATTGCAGATGTACTGCACTGGTACACTGATGAATATTGAGGACAAACTGGGGCACCAACAGATGTTGATGTGCACTGGGACACTATTGCAGATGTTCTGCAGTGGGACACTAACAGATGTTGATGGTCCAATGGGACACTAACAGATGTTGATGGTCCAATAGGGCACCAACAGATGTTGATGGTCCAATGGGGCACCAACAGATGTTGATGGTCCAATGGGGCACTATTGCAGATGATGATGGTATATTGGGACACTGTTGCAAATGCTGTGCACTGGGACACTTTAAAAGATGTTGATGTGCACTGGGGCAATGTAAAGGATGTTGATGTGCACTGTGATATGGTAAAACATGCTGACTATCCACTGGGGACACTGTAAAAGATGCTGACTGTACACTGGGGACACTGTAAAAGATGTTGACGGTCCACTAGGGACGCTGTAACAGATGTTGACGGTCCACTAGGGACACTGTGAGAGATGTACAGTATCTCACAGAAGTGAGTCCACTCCTCACATTTTTGTAAATATTTTATTATAGCTTTTCATGTGACAACACTAAAGAAATGACACTTTGCTACAGTGTGATGAAGTCAGTGTACAGCTTGTATAACAGTGTAAATGTGCTGTCCCCTCAAAGTAACTCAACAGACAGCTATTAATTAACACACTTGCAACAAAAGTGAGTACACCCCTAAGTGAAAATGTCCAAAACTGGGTCCAAAGAGTCAATATTTTGTGTGGCCACCATTATTTTCCAGCACTGCCTTAACCCTCTTGGGCATGGAGTTCACCAGAGCTTCACAGGTTGCCACTGGAGTTCTCTTCCACTCCTCCATGACGACATCACGGAGCTGGTGGATGTTAGAGACCTTGCGCTCCTTCAACTTCCATTTGAGGATGCCCCACAGATGCTCAATAGGGTTTAGGTCTGGAGACATGCTTGGCCAGTCCATCACCTTTACCCTCAGCTTCTTTAGCAAGGCAGTGGTCATCTTGGAGGTGTGTTTGGAGTCATTATGTTGAAATACTGCCCTGCAGCCCAGTCTCCGAAGGGAGGGGATCATGCTTTGCTTCAGTATGTCACAGTAAATGTTGGCATTCATGGTTCCCTCAATGAACTGTAGCTCCCCAGTGCCAGCAGCTCTCATGCAGCCCCAGACCATGACACTCCCACCATCATGCTTGACTGTAGGCAAGACACACTTGTCTTTGTACTCCTCACCTGGTTGCCCCCACACACGCTTAACACCTTCTGAACCAAATCAGTTGATCTTAGTCTCATCAGACCACAGGACATGGTTCCAATAATCCATGTCCTTAGTCTGCTTGTCTTCAGCAAACTGTTTGCGGGCTTTCTTGTGCATCATCTTTAGAAGAGGCTTCCTTCTGGCACGACAGCCATACAGACCAATTTGATGCAGAGTGCGGCATATGGTTTGAGCACTGACAGGCTGACCCCCCACCCCTTTAGCTTCTCCAGAAATACTGGCAGCGTTCATATGTCTATTTCCCAAAGAAAGCCTCTGGATATGACACTGAGCACGTGCACTCAACTTCTTTGGTCTTCCATGGCGAGGCCTGTTCTGAGTGGAACCTGTCAAACCGTCGTATGGTCTTGGCCACTGTCCTGCAGCTCAGTTTCAGGGTCTTGGCAATCTTCTTATAGCCTAGGCCATCTTTATGTAATGCAAGAATTCTTTTTTTCAGATCCTCAGAGAGTTCTTTGCCATGAGGTGCCATGTTGAACTTCCAGTGACCAGTATGAGAGAGTGAGAGCGATAACACAAAATTTAAACACACCCGCTCCCCATTCACACCTGAGACCTTGTAACACTAATGAGTCACATGACATCGGGGAGGGAAAATGGCGAATTGGGCCCAATTTGGATATTGTTACTTAGAGGTGTACTCACTTTTGTTGCCAGCGGTTTAGACATTAATGGCTGTGTGTTGAGTTATTTTGAGGGGACAGCAAATTTACATGTTATACAAGCTGTGTAATTTCTTCAGTGTTGTCATATGAAAAGATATAATAAAATGTGAAGGGGTGTACTCACTTCTGTGAGATACTGTAGATGGGACAGTGCTACAGATGTTGGACACTGTGACAGATGTGCTTGGTGCACTGGTGACAGATGACTGCACTGTGTGCAATCTGTGTGTATCTGAACAGTAAAATCAGCAGTTTCACACAGATTCCTGACAGGCTGCACAGAATGGCTCTCTTTCTTATCACTGCACTCTATGTGAGGAGAAAGAGAGACAATTAACAGCCATGTACTATTTGTTGACATTTGTGATGGCTGTGATCACATGACTCTAATTGCCAATTACAGCATGTATCTCTCGATCCTTGATGCGCTGTGTCCAGGCATCATAGGATTGCGCAGCTACACAGTCCCATAGACTGGGAGGATGTACGGGCACGTCTTTCCAGATCAGTGCTTTTCCCACCTGGCTGTTTATGTGCAGTGGCCGGGTGGGACTCTGTTAATGCAAAGAATGCATTAGGGTTAAATACTCTCTACTTTTACAACCACTTTAACTTGAAAATAACTTTGACTAATTTTTTCATATATACACACACCACATAATTTCATCTATCTATCTATCTATCTATCTATCTATCTATCTATCTATCTATACATACTATATTGCCAAAAGTGTTGGGCCAGCCCTCCAAATCATTGGATTCAGCTGTTCCAATCACCTCCATGGCCACAGGTGTATAAAATCAAGCACAAAAGGGTTAAGTGAGCGCTAAAGGTCCAATAAGCTGCTGAAACACCAAAAGGCACCAAAAAACCTCAAAAACATAAATATAAAGTAAGGTGCAGCGCTAAAACTAAGAATCAATATAACCACACAAGCTAATTGGTTCCAAAACACATAAATATATATAAATAAAGTGACTCGTAATAAAGTGCTGACTATATCAAACAAGATAAAGGTTACTCTGTGGTATTGCATAAATTTGTCACTGTGTAGTGACCAATAGTGCTATAAAGTGCTGAAAGAGATGAGATCTAAATTGTCCAAATATAGGTGCATGGAAGATCTGATAATCTTCAGTTATTGGTGGTCTATCCAGTACTGTGGTGACGTGACCAATGATGTAAAGACTGCCCACTCACCAGATGCACAATCAATAAGCACATTTAGAGACACTGCTCTCAATGGATGAACTAGAGGCCCCTTTAAGGTAAATAGGTCTGGAACAAAAAGCTACTGACCATATACAAAAATTCAAGATGGCCGCTGGGACCCACGTGGTGCTGGCGGCGTGACGTCACAACGCTGTATCTCCTCCCTAAAATCAAGCACCTAGGCATGCACACTGCTTCTACAAACATTTGTGAAAGAATGGGTCACTCTCAGAAGCTCAGTGACTCCAAGCGTAGTACTGTGATAGGTTGCCATCTGTGCAATAAGTCCATCTGTGAAATTTCCTGGTTACTAAATATTCCACGCTCAACTGTTAGTGATATTATAACAAAGTGGAAGCAACTGGGAACAACAGCAACTCAGCCACCAAGTGGTAGGCCACGTAAAATGACAGAGCGGGGTCAGCGCATGCTGAAGCACACAGTGCGCAGAAGTCACCAACTGTCTGCAGAGTCAATAGCTAAAGACCTCCAAACTTCGTGTAGTTTTCTGATAAACACAACAGCAGTGAGTATAGAGCTTCATGGAATGGGTTTCCATGGCCGAGCAGCTGCATCTAAGCCTTACATCACCAAGTGCAATGCAAAGTGTCGGATGTAGTGTTGTAAAGCACACCGCCACTAGACTCTAGAGCAGTGGAGACGTGTTCTCTGGATTGACCAATCACACTTCTCTGTCTGGCAATCCGATGGACGTGTCTGGGTTTGGCGGTTGCCAGGAGAACGGTACTTGCCTGACTGCATTGGGCCAAGTGTAAAGTTTGGTGGAGGGGGGATTATGGTGTTAGGTAGTTTTTCAGGGGTTGGGCTTGGTCCCATAATTCCAGTGAAGGGAACTCTTAAGGCGTCAGCATACCAAGACATTTTGGACAATTTCATGCTCCCAACTTTGTGGGAAGAGTTTGGGGATGGCCCCTTCCTGTTCCAACATGACTGCACACCAGTGCACAAAGCAAGGTCCATAAAGACATGGAGGAGCCAGTTTGGGGTGGAGGAACTTGACTGGCCTGCACAGAGTCCTGACCTCAACCCAATAGAACACCTTTGGGATGAATTAGAGCAGAGACTGTGAGCCAGGCCTCCTCCCCCGACATCAGTGCCTGACCTCACAAATGTGCTTCTGGAAGAATGGTCCAACCTTCCCATAGACACCCTCCTAAACCTTGTGGACGGCCTTCCCAGAAGAGTTGAAGCTGTTATAGCTGCAAAGGGCGGGGCCAACTCAATATTCAACCCTACGGACTAAGACTGGGGGGCCATTACAGTTCATGTGCGTGTAAAGGCCGGCCGACCAATACTTTTGGCAAATTAGTGTGTGTGTGTATGTATGTGTGTGTGTGTGTGTGTGTATGTGTGTGTGTGTGTGTATGTGTATATATATATATATATATATATATATATATATATATATATATATATATATATATATACACACAATATTTATTTATTTTTTAAGAACATATAAGACTTTTTATGTGGTGCCGTTTGAATAAAACCCTGCTCTGTTTTGTATTATGAGATGATAAATGTGCAAAAAATGATATGGCACCGAGGGGTTTATTAGTTTAGCCCTGTAATTAATACTGTAATCTAATACTACTATTGTTAAATTATTATTATACAGTATTTATAAAGCGCCAACATTACAAAAGGGGACAGAACATGTGACCGTACAGTAACAATACAATACACGAGGGGTTCGAGGGCCCTGCTCCTTGGAGCTTACAATCTAGGAGGGAGGGGAAGGTGGTACAGGAGGAGATAGCTGTGGGGGATGGAGTGGTAGGAGGAGTGGAGCAGATCGGCAAGTTAGCAGGGGGTGGGGTAGGCTTCCCTGAAGAGATGGGTTTTCAGGGTACGTCTAAAAGGAGAGGAGAGTAGGTGATAATCTGATGGGTTGGGGCAGGGAGTTACAGCTACAAAAAAATATAAAGGCATCTTGTTAACAGAAGAGTTCTTATACTCACTCCTCCAGCAGCCCATGCCTCTTACCTTCCCTCTATTCCAGCTCTTTTTGACATTTATTACTTCACCACTTTTGGGGGTGTCAGGTGCCTTTATCCCCCACCACACACTTTGATTTAGTCTTCCAACTCCAGCATTACTAAAAGACTCAGATGTGGCATAGGGGTTGGAGGACAGAACCAAGAGGGGAACAGGCAGCCAACACTCTGAGGTTTCTAATCCTGAGAAGACTGACAGAGGTGTCAGCACTGGAATGGAGGGAGGCCTCAGAGACTGAGAATGAGCAAGTTCTTGTCTTGCAGGGCACCTTTTCTTTGGATTTTGTTTACTATGGTAAGCTTTCTTTAAAATAAAGGGGCTCTAATTAGGACTTTCTTTTCTTTTTCTTTACTGTGACTGTTTGCTTTCTTACAGCCAGTACCTCGGCCAGGAACATTGTCACAACCACAGTCAACAGCGCCCAAGACCTCTCCTTCCAAAAGCCCCAAATTGTCTGGAAAAGGTTTGCTGGCTCTTAATGCTCCTTTTTCTGTTTTCTTCCAGTTAAAGCGGTATTTAAAAAAAAAAATACATAAATAAAATATTGCAGTTTAACAATCATTAAATGTGGTGGCTGCATTAGATTTCTTTGTTTAGGCTTTTTTCTTCTGTTTTCACCTGGTGATATGGCTAGTATGGCCCCCGCTCTTCTTGATGGAGCACAGAGGCACCTTTGGAGGGAGGAGAATGTTCCATGTACTAGCAGATTTAGATACAGTAACAAACTGAAGCCAAACTCCCTTGTACACTACAGCTACAGTAACCGTTTTTTCTTTTAGGATAATTTCTTTACATAAATAAAAGCTTATCATTGTAAGCACCCCTGTCAGTGGTAAATGGTTTGTCTCAACACTCTTAACTGATACATTTGGAGGAAAGCCTGTTTTGTTGAAAAGCAACAGACGTGCTGGCTGGATCATCAGATGAAAATGGAAGAAAGAAAGCCTAACATAGAAAACTAATGCATCCATCTCATCTAAGAATTTGTAAACTTCAGAATAATAAATGTTTGCATTTGGGTTAAATACCGCTTTACCCTAGGTTCACATCTGTGCGGGTGGTGCCGCTGCGTATCCGCACGAAAATCCGTGCAGCCGCACAGAGAATTGCAAGCCCACGGGCAGGTGCTATTAGTTCTAATGGCATGCCTCCCACACTAGGAAACGCAACCATACTGGGAACCGAGGTCCCCATACGGGCTGCGTTTTCCAAATGAATGGGCTTTCCTGCCCGTGCAAAACGCGGCCCGCCCGGCCGCATAGATGTGAACCAGAGGTGAATGTTTAGCCGTCATGTTTCAGACTTGTGCGTCATCTATGGTCATGTTTCTCTCTTTATCTCATTGCCTTGACGCAGTCTTTTTCTCTATTTCTTTGTGTAGCACAGTAATGACTCCATAATTAGTTAATGATTTAGAACCCATGTGATGTTTGTATTGCCCTCTGTCCCCATTAGGAAAATTTGCTTTCATTAATTGTCCTGATTACTAATGTCACCAGAAATGAAAGTGAGGGAAAATCCAAAATTTGGAGTTGCCACCATAACAGAAATAGAGGGGAAATCTGAAGGAAAATGTCCCTAATGAGACCTAGATTTAGAAAACAAAAAAAATCTGACAGCCGATTTAACCCTCCCCTTCTACCCTCAACATTTAGATATACTTTAAAAGAATCTTGCAGTGAAGAAATAGAGAGAATGCCATTGCTAAACTCACCTTGTGAAAATACAAGTACCCTGACTGTGTCCTCAATATTTATCCTAACTTGCATCAAGCATGCACAGGATTCTGACGTTGGCTTGACTTTACCATCTACATGATTTTCCATGGAGAGCCTTAAATTACTTAGCCATTGACAGCCAGGCAACTATCATTTTCAGAAGGTGGTGAGCAGTAGCAGCCTCTGTGTCTTCAGCCATTCCCATCAGCTCTAGAGCTTTCACCTTTCATCTTGTCTCCTATACTTTTTTTTTTTCCCTTCTGCCATTTCTTCAGCATATTGGTTTTCATTCCCTCATCTCTCCTCTTTCTCTCTCCTCCACTACTTGTAGCTGAGCAGCAACTGCAGTTTTTGGAAGGAAGAAAGAAACAGCTTATGGCAGCTGCCCTCCGTTCTAAACAACACAAAGACATAGAAGGGGCCAAGATGTACCTGCGCCAAGCCAAGGGCCTGGACCCAATGCTGGAGGCGGCACGTGGTGGACTGCCTGTGGATATCACCAAGGTAGCTTAGAGAAGGAAGAACTGGCAGTAATGTAATTGTACCTTCACTTCTTGCAAGGACGAATATGTGACCCTTCATGTTAAACCACAGGTACCCCCTGCCCCCATTAGCGAGGCCGATTTCAGTCTGGACCCACAGAAGAGAGGTGGTGCCTCAGCCCAGAATAGTGAGAAGTACAACAAGATCATGGAGCAGCTCAAGAAACAGCATGAGGTAGGCACTGCTTATTGATAGACTGGATTTACTCACTCTAATATAAAAACTGGCTGCACGTTTCATCATTGAATAAAACATTGTTCTGAACATTTCTGTGAAAGTTCTTATTTATCCAGGTCATAGTATAGTTGGTAGTAGTCACATTCAGCTGGACTTGTTCTGTAATACTGAAGACATTTCAGAGCTTATACCAGTCACTTCTTATGTTCTAATGAGTGTCCGGAAGACACCCTAATCCTTAATATTCACACACATAGAACCCTCAATCCAATCACTATGAAACATATAGATGCTGATTGTCCAAGAACAGGATTGGAGGTATGAAAGTTGTAGAACCACCCTGTTCTAGTCACATAATCCTAACATTTGGTGTCAGAATACATAAAAAATGAAGCCCTCCCACTGGATGCATTTCACCCAAGAACCTGTTTAATCGTAGAGACGGGGGGATGAGGGGGCTATTTTATGCAAGATCCATCTTACTATGCACAACATTCTTTAAAGCTCTGATCTGGCGTTTGTAACCAAGAGCCAGGATTGATCACTTTTTTTTGCTGGGCTTGGGTGTTAAATTTGTGCACTGTACAGTGCATGCATAAAGTATTCAGACCCCCTTCACTCTTTTCAATGTTATGTTGCAGATTTATACTACAGTTGTTTGAAATCATTTTTTCTCTCATTATTCTACACTCAGTACCCCGTAATGACAAAGTGAAAACAGAAATTTTTTAAATGTTTGCAAAAAATGTGAAATATCACATTGGCATAAGTATTCAGACCCTTTGCGACAACACTTGAAATTTAGCTCAGGCGCCTCCCATTTCTCTTGATCATTGCTGAGATTTTTCTACACTTTGATTGGAGTCCACTTGTAGTAAATTAAATTGATTGCACATGATTTGGAAAGGCACACACCTCTCGATAAAAAGCCACACAGCTGGCAATGCATACTGTACCAGAGCAAAAGCCATGAGGTCAAAGAAACTGCCTGCAGAGCTCAGAGTTCTTGTAAGGCACAGATCTGTGGAAGGCTACAAAAATTTCTGTTGCACTGAAGATTCCCAAGAGCAAAGTGGCCTCCATAATTCTCAAATGGAAGACATTTAGCACAACCAGGGCTCTTACAAGAGCTTGTTGCGCGGCCAAACTGAGCAATCTGGGGAGAAGGGCCTTAGTAAGAGAGATAACCAAGAACCTGATGGTCACTCTGCTGAGCTCCAGAGATCCTGTGTGGAGATGGGACAAAATTCCAGAAGGACAACCATCACTGCAACCCTCCATCGATCTGGGCTTTATGACAGAGTGGCTAGACCAAAGCCTCTTCTCAATAAACATATGAAAGCCCACTTAAAGTTTGCAAAACAGCACCTGAAGGACTATAATACTGAGGAACAAGATTTTCTGGTCTGATGAAACCAAGATTGAACTGTTTGGCCTCAATTCTAAACATTGTCTGGAGGAAACCAGCCACTGCTCATCATCTGCTCAATACCATCCAACAGTGAAGCATGGTGGTGGGAGAATCATGTTGTGGGGGTGTTTTTCAGCAGCGGGGACTGGGAGACTGGTTAGGGTTGGGGAATGGAGCAAAGTATGGAAATATCATCAATGAAAACTTATTCCATAGTGCTCAGGACCTCCGACTGGTTTGAAGGTTAGCCTTCCAACATGACACCAATCCTAAGCACACAGCCAAGACAACACAGAAAAGGCTTAGAGACAACTCTGTGAATGTCCTAGAGTGGCCCGGCCAGAGCCTTGATTAAAACCCTATGGAACATCTCTGGAGAAACCTGAAAATGGCTGTCCACCAATGGTCCCCATCCAACCCGACTGAGCTTGAGATGGTAGACAGGTCAGGGCAGAACGGGAGAGATTCTGTCATAGAGGCAGTCAGTTGCAGAGTGGAAACTAGAAGGGTTTAAGTTGAAGTTAAGTGAAAGTTTCTGCGGGTAATTGTTTGCTGCTTGGAGGGATAAGTGTTTGAAGATGAGGACACTGTGAAGGTGATGAGATTGTGATCAGAGAGAGGAAAGGGGGTGTTTGTGAGGTTGTAGGGAGTGCAAAGATGGGAGAAAACAAGGTTTAATGTATTTCCATCAGAGTGAGTGGAGGACTGTATACATTGTGTTAAGGCAAAAGATGAGGTTATGTTGAAGAGTTGGGATGTAGCCGGGTTGTTGACATTAATGGGGATGTTAGTCTCCAAGAATGATAGTGGGTATTTCAGAGGAGAGAAAGTAGGGTAGCCAGACAGGGAAGTCATCAAGAAAGCGAGACACTGGTCCAGGAGGCCGTTAGATCACTGCAATCCTCAGCGAAATGGGAGAAAAGAGCTGAATTCAGAGAGTCTCAAAAGAAGAGAAGGATAGAGAGGGAGGGTTAGGGAGGACATGAAAGGTGCTCAGTGGGGATAAAAGCAAACCAACCCCACATCCTTTCGACCACTGGGTCTGGGTGAGTGGGTCCAGAGAAGGCCTGCATAGGAAAGTGCTGCGGGAGAAGTCTGATGCTTGAAGCCAGGTTTCTGTAATTGCTAGTAGGTTAAGGGAGCGGGAGACAAAAAGGTCATGGACAGAGGTGAGCTTATTACAGACAGAGCGGGCATTCCAGAGCACACATGAAAAAGGGAGGGTGGTTTTTAGGTGCACAGGGATAGAGATTAAACTGAGTGGCTTGCAGCTATTCCCGGAGGAAAGAGGGTGCCTGGTGTGGGGGTGAGAAAGTGGAGGACCAGGGTTTGGGGAGATATCACCAAAGGTTAGGAGAAGTAGGGTGAGGAACGTAAGGTGGGAGCGGGATGTGCACGAGTGCACATGCCTTCCTGTCCTGGTGTTTGGGTCAGCGGGTGAGTAAAGTATTAGCAGGAGGTGATGAGAGCAGTAGTAGGGAGATTGTAGAAGTGAGGGTGAGTGATGTATAAACTTTGGGGTGGAGCAGAGGGGTAAAGAAATTATATTTTGAGAACAGAGGATAGTAATATGAAAAGAAGTAGAGGGGGCATTTTAAAAGGTACATGGAGTGGGAATCAAACTTGTAGATGTTTCCCTGGGTGTTTGCTTGCAGTCCATCCAGCATGCAGTAGAGTTCTTTGTTGTATCTTCCTGCTGCTTGAGTTATCCTGCTTTAGTTAAACTGCTGTGTTCAACTGCTGCTTCACACTCCAGTAGAAACTGCAGTGTTGTGTTCAACTGCTGCTTCACACTCCAGTAGAAACTGCAGTGTTGTGTTCAACTGCTGCTTCACACTCCAGTAGAAACTGCAGTGTTGTGTTCAACTGCTGCTTCACACTCCAGTAGAAACTGCAGTGCTGTGTTCAACTGCTGCTTCACACTCCAGCAGAAAATGCACTCATGCAGGAAAAATGCCCCTGTCTGCGACTGAACCCCCCCCCGTGACCTCCCCCATACCTGGCCTAAATTTATAGGGAGATGATCAAATGAACAACTCTTCTCCGCCCCAATTAGGAAGTGAAAAGGATCACATGAATTCTAATGATTGTCCCTTTTATTTCTTCCAGATGTGTACAACTTCCTCTCAGCAGTTCACACACATGGGCAACATTACAGAGACAGCAAAGTCAGTACTCCATCATCCTGTGTGGCTATTTGGTGCATTTGAGTTACATGTTGCATTCCTCTCCTGGTTTTTCTGTCTGCACCTGAAGCTTCAATTTTCTGTGTTCTGCTTCTGTTTGTGTTTCTTCCTTACACTGTGCGCAATGTCCTCTATCTGTTTAAATTGTACCTAAATTTTCCCCCAACATGCTAAAGCCTCTCCATTACATTCGAGCTACCAGCTTCAGCTGTATGCATATCTCTCAGAATTCCTAGTTGGCACCTCTGAAGCTCTGAATGCTGGGTAGAGATGTAAAATATCCAGAAATTTTTAAGCCGGGGCGGAACGTTTTTTTTCCAGAAAAAATGGAAATTTTCGGAAAAATTAAAAATTCAGCGTGGAGTAGTCCTACAAATTAAAAGTTATTTTGTTACACTGCAAATTTCAGCTTTGCTCTCAGCAGAAATTGCACTGTGGAAATTTACCTTTTTGAGGAACCCCTGGCAAAAAGTCTGGGATCTCAGGGAATCCCTGAAATAATTTTCATATGTACAGCTGATGGAATATTGATGTGATCAGCGAGCTGTAGATATAACAACAATTATTATTAGAGCATTAAACAATAGGATAAAAATTAATACTTACCTCCTGAGGATTATCTCCCTTCCTTGACCAGGTCATTTTTGCGTTATGGCACTGCGCTACTTTAACTGACAATTGCACAGTCCTTTAACGCTGCACCCAAATGAAATTTACGTTTTTCTTTTCCCACGAATTGAGCTTTCTTTTGGTGGTATTTAATTGCCTGTGCATTTAAATTTTTTTGTGCTATTAGAAAAAAAAAAAAGAAGACAATTTTGAGAAAAAAACTGTATTTTTTACTTTTTGCTATTAAACATGTCCAGTAAAAAAATAAACCAAATCAAATTTCGTCATAAATTTAGGCCACTGACACTGTACTAATGGCACTGGGTAGGAAGGGGTTAACATGAGGGGCGATTAACTGTGTGCTGTTTCACTATGTGCTGTGTTCGTGTGCTTCACTGTAAGCACACTGCTTGTGCACGAGCTGACAGGGAGAACTGTTTTGTTTACAAACCGTTCTCCTCCCCATCGGAGATGCTCGGCAATCACCAGCCGGGACCCGGTGACTGACGGCCGCGAATGGCTGCACAAGTAGGGCACACGCGCGCCCCCTACCCGGAAATGTAGGATCATGTATACATTTGTGATTTTGCGCACCCGTGCCGCCCTGTAGCAGTATGTCTGCTATAGAGCGGTTGAGAAGCGGTTAATCTGAAACTTGCTTTCTATTTGCACAGATGCTTAATTCTTGGTCAAACTTAAGACAAGTAGTGTACAGGGGTTTAGCAGGGCAGAGCATGGGGATCCAGCAGGGAACGGTACAGGGGGGCTAGGAGAGAACTGTACAGGGGAACAGGGAGGGGGTTCAGGAGGGAAGAGTGTAGAGGGGCCATGAGAGAACTGTACAGGGTTGGGGGGGGCAGGAGGGAAGAGTACAGGGGGGCCAGGAGGGAAGAGTGTAGGGGTGACAGAAAAGCACAGCACAGTATAGGGGGGCCAGGAGGGATCAGTATAGGTGGCCAGGAGGAAACCATACTGGAAGGCAAAATACTGGAGTCTGTAGCTGTTTTCCTCATGCAGAGTAGCTCAGGAAAGCTTCTGGATTGTATCTGGTGCGCTGATTACCACCCACCCTCCCCTCTCGTCCCTCCCCTCTCGTCCCTCCCAACTGGGTGCACCTTAGTATGCAAATCTTGACTAGGATGCTTAGTGCCTGGCCTTGCCTTATCCCACCTGCTCTGCCTTACTACTGGTATATCACATCACCAAGGGCAGCCTGGCTGGCCACTAGAGAATAGGTGCCAGGGTTTGGTTGAGTTTTTTGCATTTTACAGTATCTCTGAGATTCAGGGGCTCTGGAAAAGAGTTAATAGGCAACCTAAAATGAGGTGAAGTTGTCAGCTAGGACATAGTAGTGACGCTTTACCATGTTGGAACTCACTTCAGGCTGCTTTAAGGGTAGAGTATATTACCCCATCTAGGGTAATAGGTGCACGTTTATTTGGCAAGTATACATCTCTGTTGTATTGTTTACCCTTTACCTTTTGAAAGGTTATTGAAATTCCATCTCCCACAATTATCTGTGCTGTATTCTGTCTCATTTTATCTCCTCCATACTTTGTCTTGTCCTAGGACAACCATTTTCTCCTCCATACTATGTCTTGTCCTGGGCCAACCATTTTCTCCTCCATACTCTTTCTTGTCCTTGGCCAACCATTTCCTCCCCCATACTCTGTCTTGTCCTTGGCCAACCATTTCCTCCCCCATACTCTTTCTTGTCCTTGGCCAACCATTTCCTCCCCCATACTCTTTCTTGTCCTTGGCCAACCATTTCCTCCCCCATACTCTTTCTTGTCCTTGGCCAACCATTTCCTCCCCCATACTCTTTCTTGTCCTTGGCCAACCATTTCCTCCCCCATACTCTTTCTTGTCCTTGGCCAACCATTTCCTCCCCCATACTCTTTCTTGTCCTTGGCCAACCATTTCCTCCCCCATACTCTTTCTTGTCCTTGGCCAACCATTTTCTCCTCCATACTATGTCTTGTCCTGGGCCAACCATTTTCTCCTCCATACTCTTTATTGTCCGGGCCAACCATTTTCTCCTCCATACTCTTTATTGTCCGGGCCAACCATTTTTCTCCTCCATACTCTTTATTGTCCGGGCCAACCATTTTCTCCTCCATACTCTTTATTGTCCGGGCCAACCATTTTCACCTCCATACTCTTTATTGTCCGGGCCAACCATTTTCTCCTCCATACTCTTTATTGTCCGGGCCAACCATTTCCTCCCCCATGCTCTGTCATGTCCGGGCCAACCATTTCCTCCTTTGTACTCTGTCTTGTCCTGACGAACTGTTTCTTTCTCTATACTCTCTTTTGTACTAAAGGAGTATTGCCTCTCCTATTAACAGCTTACAAAATATTTTTTTCCCTCAAGCAGTCCGACTCATAAATTGTTGCTTATATCATGCAATAAAGAAGGAAGTGTAGCATAGGATGAATGCTATCTTGAAATATTATGAGGACTTTTCTAAGAGGGTAGTTGTGTGTAGCATTGGAAGGAACTGCAACTTTATTGCAACTTTATTTTTACAAAGAAATTGTTGATTCTTGATTTGACTGATTTGTGTACACCCTGGCTCCTGTGTCTCTTTGTCATCTTACTATCTGTTCTGTCCTTTTTCTCCCACCTATCTTCCACTTCCTACCCTTCTCTCACGAGCCATACACATCCGTATGCCTGCAGTAACATACAAAAGTGCATATTTTTGTTTGCTTTTTAAATGCATTTTTTGTTCATGTTTAATGCATGAGAGAGTGAAGTATCCAGAATAGAGATTTTGTTTGGTGCAGAAAAACACTTTTCCTCTCTTGCTTTCTCTCTCCCCCACTCCCCTTCTCTTTTTCTCTCTCTCTCTCCCCTTCTCTTTTTCTCTCTCTCTCTCCCCTTCTCTTTTTCTCTCTCTCTCTCCCCTTCTCTTTTTCTCTCTCTCTCTCCCCTTCTCTTTTTCTCTCTCTCTCCCCTTCTCTTTTTCTCTCTCTCCCCTTCTCTTTTTTCTCTCTCTCTCCCCTTCTCTTTTTCTCTCTCTCTCTCCCCTTCTCTTTTTCTCTCTCTCTCCCCTTCTCTTTTTCTCTCTCTCTCTCCCCTTCTCTTTTTCTCTCTCTCTCCCCTTCTTTTTTCTCTCTCTCTCCCCTTCTCTTTTTCTCTCTCTCCCCTTCTCTTTTTCTCTCTCTCTCTCCCCTTCTCTTTTTCTCTCTCTCTGCCCTTTGCTTTTCTTTGCTTAGTAGGGATCTGAAGATTTTGGGGTTAATTGTCTAAAGACAAATAGACTGTGCAGTTGCGCTCCACAAACTGATGCTGCTCCAGAGTTTATTAAATGAGGGGAAGCTCTGCTGATTTTCAGCAGCCAATCATGTGTAAGCTAAAATTCTGTTTAGTTGGGGTTTTTTTTTTTTTTTTTTTTGCTTGTGATTGGGTATTCTTTGCAAAGTGAAACTTTGCCTCATTTACTAAGCTCTGGAACAAGTGCACTTTGAGGAGTGCAACTGCACATGCAAAGTGCAGAGTTTACCTGCCTTTGGTAAATCAACCCATTTGTGTGTGTTTTCTTTTTCCTGACCAGGTATGAGAAATTAGCAGAGGAATGCATGAAATATATAGAAATTGTAAAACAGGCACATGCACGGGGCCTAGCAGTGCCTCACTGTCACTACGAGGAGCGAACTGTCAGCGTTGTCAAGTAAGTGACTCTGTAATATATGCATAGATGTACCTCCGGAAACCCAGCTGTTCTCTGACACTTGTCTGTCACCTACAGGATCTTCCCGGACCTGACCGCTTCAGACCTTGTGCTGTACATCTCCAAAGCTGTGAATTTACCCACACCCGCTGGTAATTATTACTCACTTATACCTGTCTGTCATTTTCCTCTTCTTCTTACTTCCCCTGACAATCTGATTCTGTCACAGGATCCTCTCAGAATGATATGGACACCTTTGTTCGGTTTGAATTTGCCTATCCTAGTACGGTAAGGAGCATCGGGATTAAACTATATAAAGGGGTCAATCCACCCAAAAATAATTTCCTAGCTCCTTCCACGCACTGCAATCATAGGTGGATCCTACTTTATTGAATTTTTCATTTGCTTTATCCTAAAGATATTTCCTCCGGAGGTATAAGACTCCAAGGTGAGAGAGAAGGCAGAGCTTTTCAGTCTGCGAGAATAATAATTCAATGAATGGTGATTTTTACTTTTACTAGGTTTCTACCCATCTCTAAAAGTCTGGGGTTTGGTGAATTTAAAGAGACCATTCAGGGCAAATAGTCTTTTTATTGTCCACCACCCTATACTCACTTTTACAGCACTTCCCTGTGCTCTGTCCTCCATAGCTGCTGCTGCAAAATGCCTGTTGCTTGCTGCTCAGTTTACGGGAGCATATGGCCTCTTCCCAAGATGCAGTGCTCAGGTCTAGCAGTCAATTGCCAGCCCAAGTACCAAGATGAAAGAATCTCCTTGAATGGAATCTATCAGGGCAGTATAGCACACAGTAACATAATAAATCCCAGACTAATGATGCTGTCAGGAGTCTGGCAGTAGTGGCCTCTAGTGATTTATGGGAGCGATAGCTGCGAAGGGCAGCAACTTTCCTCTCTCAACTTTCCCTGTTTTCTTACCCCTTTTATTTACTTATTACACCTCTTTTGGTGTGCACACTTATGTATGTCCCTCTAATTATATAGAGCCACTCTCTCTGCAATCACAAATTGTTTCAAATTAATAAAAAAATGTTACCTAATGTTTTTTCTGATCAAAAAGGTTTTATTGTTAGAAAGTTTTTAAAAAGTCCAAGAGAAACATGAATAAAATTAGGTAAAACAATTGTTTTGACAATATGAGGAGTGAAGTCTTCAAGCACATCTCTATGCTGATGACACACAAATCTATCTTTCTACCCCTCACCTCACCCCTTCAGTCTCCTCCTCACCTCACCCCTTCAGTCTCCTCTCACATTACTAACCTACTAAGCAACATATCGGCATGGATGAATCTCCACTTCCTCAAACTCAATATTTCAAAAACGGAGTTCATACTTTCCCCTCCAGCCCGTGCCCCCTCCCCTGACTTCTCCATAAAGATCAATAACACAATCATTAGTCCCCCCCTCATGCCAGGGTACTAGGTGTAATCCTAGACTCCCATCTGTCCTTTCAGCCCCCAAATCCAATCACTGTCCAAATCTTGTAGACCTCATCTCCGCAACATCTCCAAGATACGCCCGTTCCTAACCTCGGAAACCACTAAGCAACTTATTCACTCCCTGGTTATTTCTCGCCTTGATTATTGCAACTCCCTCCTCATTGGCCGACCTCATCGCAGGCTATCCCCTCTTCAGTCTATCATGAATGCTGCTGCCAGACTCATCCATCTTACTAACTGTTCCATATCTGCCATCCTTCTCTGCCAATCCCTCCACTGGCTTCCCGTTGCCCAAAATTCAAAACATTAACAATAATATATAAAGCCATTTATAACTCTGCCCCAAATTACATAATCAATCTGGTTTCCAAATATCACCCAAACCGTACTCTCCACTCCTTGCACAACCTCCTGCTCTCTAGCTCCCTTGTCTCCTCCTCCCATGCTCATCTCCAGGACTTCTCCAGAGCTTCCCCTATCTTCTGGAACTCTCTACCCCAATTTATCAGACTATCGCCTATTCTGCTCACTTTTAGGTGATCTCAGGGAAGCCTATCCTGCCCTCAGTTAATAATGGAATCTTCTACTCCTCCTACCAGTCCATCCCCCACAGTTACTACGTTTTGTACCACCAGCCCCTCCCTCCTAGATTGTAAGCTCCAAGGAGCAGGGCCCTCCTATCCCTCTTGTATTGAACTGTATTGTTGCTGTATTGTCTCCCGTTATATTGTAAAGCACTGAGCAAACTGTTGGCGTTCTATAAATCCTGTATAATAATAACAATAAAGCACAGTGTGTGTATGTGTGTGTGTGTATGTATGTGTATGTGTGTGTGTGTGTGTGTGTGTATATATATATATATATATATATATATATATTATATAATGAGGTATTCTTCATGTTTAATTGCCATACCTCTGAAACAGAGTGAGGTTACGGCTGAGAAAAAGGAACTGCACCAATTATCTGGTTGAGGGGGTACGGGGTTAGGGTGGGGAGGAGTGGCTAAAGAAGGAAGGGGGTGGTGTGACTTTGTCTAACCTTGTTGGTAGTATTACTATAGGTCAAATAGGTGCCAGTCATGGTCTGCAAGTAAGAAGTTAGATCCAGGATTCCCAGCAATGGTTTGTTTCCTGGCTGTCAGGACGTGAGTCACAAGTGCAAATTAGTGTTGAGGGATACCCTAAGGTTTTCGGGAATAGTTTATTATCGAGAATATGAAAAGTAGTCAATAGACCTGTGACCCCCCAAGCTTGTACCAGTGGGCAAGTCCACTACATGTAGTAGAATGTGCCCACTTTCAGGCATTCAGGGAGGCAGTTTGCAGAGCGAAAAGCAACTGCATGAGTTAGCTGGCTAGGGAGTCGGTGCCATCTAATTAATACTTTATTTGTTTCTAGTTATCTTGTCTTTTTTTTTTTTTTATCCTTTTTTCCCTAAAAACTTCTGCCTTTTTTTCATATACTTTAAAAGAGAAAAGAATTCCCTAAATCTTTTAAAGAAGATATATTTGTGAGGCTGCAAGCTGTCCCACGTTGGTTCTAAGACTGAAAACTATGCAATCACATGACCTCTGATTATGCAGTTGTCTGTCTGCTCAGAGTAGAGAGCAGTGACTATCAATCACTGCTCTCCGTTTTGCTTCTCATGCGCTCACTGCAGGGCAGGAGTGAGGGCAGACGAAGCTGGCTCCAGCTCTCAGCTGTGCGCTGAGAGGCAGAACCATCTGTCAGTCACATAGCCGGGTGGATCCTGACAATATTGTTGGGATACTTCCAGAGCTTGGAGTCGTACTGCAAAATCAGCTGAGAGCAGTTCACTCTCACTCTGGGTAGAGCATTCCAGTGATCCACAAGAAAAGTATGGCAAAAAAAAAAAAGCTTTGGCCATACTTCTCTTTTAAGCATATCTAACATTTAAAATCCTATATTCATTTTATCATTGTGTTTCAATTATTACTACCCCTCTCCAATTAATCTAAACAGTCTTCAAATTTGTAAACTAAATTTGTGAAGAATCCCACACTTTTTAATTTTTTTTTGGTGACACTATGCCCTGAGAGTAAGTACTGCTGCGTCACAGAATTCACAGAGCCATACAAACCATCTCAGGAGGCGGAGTCAGTGCAGGAATCACTGGTTGCAGGAAGCAAGTTACAGTGGGATATGTAGTCCTTAGACATTGAAAATAAACAACAGAGGAGAAGCTTCAAAGCATGCAGGGAATCCTGAAGGTTGTGGAAAGTGATAGGCAGCAGACAGGCAGAATTCAAAACATGAAAGGAGATTTTTTCACGCAAGCTTTGACCCTCGGTTTACATTTATGCAGCCGTGCGGGCTGCGTTTTTGCACGGGCACGAGAGCCCATTCATTTGAATGGACTCCCGTGCCCAGGACACACAGGGAAGAAGCCCCTGCACTTCTTTGGAAAACGCAGCCCGCACGGGAACCTCGGTTAGCAGTACGGTTGCGTTTTCCAGTGCGGGCGGCGTGCCATTAAAAATAATGGCACCCGCCCCCGCGGGTCCGCAATTTTCTGTACAGGTGGTGCGGCTGCATGGATTTTCTTGCGGATCCGCAGTGGCACCACCTGCACAGATGTGAACCTAGGGTTACAAGATTGTCAAAATTACTATTTTTTATATTGTTCTTACAATGCTGACATTACAAATGTGTATGTTGTGACTATAGAAGGAGAGATTTAGTTTTAGATTGTTGCTAGCTGTCTACATCCTTGTCTAAGCTCCACCTAACTGCCATTTTGATGTATAAAGGAGAGTCTTTCAGTCAGGAGCACTGCTATTGAACAGGGTGCATGGGGGTGGGTGGGGCTTAGCATGCAAGTCAAAGAAGTTAGGCTCCCTGTTACAGTGAAATTAAATGCGCACACACATACAGGGAAAGGTCTAAATATATTCACTCTATGCAATATTTGCTTACCCAGCTTGTTGCTGCATTGCAGGAGGAAGCCCAGCGAGATAAAACCAATGTGATAAAGGGGACCAACTCGCCAGGTATGGCAAAGATGTGTTGTCAGAGTGGTGATCAGTGTTTTGTAACTTGACTTCATAAATGTCTCTTGTGTTACATTCTAGTGTTTAAAGAGAAGTTTAAGCTCCATATTAATCGCAGTCACAGAGGGTTGAAGAGGGCGATTCAGGCAAAAGGAATCAAATTTGAAATCATCCAGAAAGGGTAAAATAGAGATGAGAGCATTTGAAATCATGCCATATGGATCTCGTTCGATATTAATACATTTGTATTGTGTGGTGTGCTTGTAGGGGGCTCTTTAAGTCCGATCGTGTCTTGGGTACAGCGCATCTAAAACTGGAAACCCTGGAGAACAGCTGTGAGGTCCGAGATATTCTCGAGGTAAAGGGATCTTCATCCAGTGGTATCCCTGCTCTTCTGCTCCCCTGTCTTTGCTGTAATGTCACTTCATCAGATACCTCAAAAATCTTACAAAAGGAGATCACCCAACAGACTGTAGAAACAGGGTAAACATGATGGAGTGGAGGAAAATGAATTATGCAAAGTGGAGAAGTCAAGTATCCTGACATGTCTTCTTTTCATGGCATGCCCCACTTTCCTTTCCTCCAATCCAGTTTATTTATTACAGTCTTCTCTGTAGTCTCCATCTGTGCCTATCTCTGCAATATCCATGTCACCCTTAGCTAGGGATGCACCAAAATTTCGGTGGCCAAAACGTTTTGGCCGAAAAAAACACCCCTTTCGGCTGAAATGAATAAAAGCACTGATATAGGTGCCGAAAAAAGCCTGCCCCTTGCCGCCACCCGCCTGCCCCGCCTGCCGTCGCCATCGGCCGCCGCTCGGTAGTTCTCAGCCTTACTTGAGAAACCATCGAACGATCCCGGTGCTGGGCATAGAGATGAGCAGAGGCGGACTGACCATTTGGAAACTCAGGCACTGCTCAAGGGCCCGGGGTCAGTAGGGGGCCCCATGAGATGCCCCTGGTACCTTTTTCATAGGCTTTTTTTGAGTTTGGGCAAGGACACAGGGGCCCCATGATCCCCTATTGCCCGGGGGCCCCATGAGTTGTCAGTCTGCCCCTGGAGATGAGTGAAGGAAAGATGGTCCTTGGAGGACCAGAGCGATGTCACTTCTGGTTCCAGCCTTTTTTTTTTTTTTTTTTTTTTAAAGCACTAGATCAATGGTTTTTTGTTTTTTTTTAAAGCACTAGATCAATGTTTTTTTTTTTGTTTTTTTTTTTTTTATTTGATCCAATGCTTTACATTGCAGAGGAGAGATGTGGAGTCTTATTGACTCCATATCTCTCCATAAAGTGGACCTGTCAGTAATTATTTCTATCACAAGGGATGCATGCATTTCTTGTGATAATAATAAAAGTGATTAAAACATTTTTTAAAGGGACAGTGCAAAAAAACAAATGAATTTAAAAAAAAAGTTTAACCCCCCTGGCGGTATTCCTGAGTGTAGCTCGGGGTAAAGTTTGAGTGCCACAAGCGGTAACCCCAATCTACACTCGGGCTTACCATGCGGCGCTGCTCTGCGATCCCTCGATCACTTACCTTGTCCTGCGCTTCCACGATGTCCCTCCTGCAGTGTCCCCGGCAATGTAATCCGGCGGATGCCGGCATCTGGCATCTGGGTTCCGTCCTCTGCGAGCGTCGGGACGTACGGGGGACGGAACCGGCAGGAAATTTGAAAATTACAGAAAGTGATATTCACTAAATACACTAAAATCACATAGTATAACATTCCTGTATCAAACCATTTCACATACATTTTGTCCCGAGTGCTTTGTCCTGTGCCCTGCCTGCATTTTTACTGTTCTTTCTGCCTGGAAGCTGACAAATGTCCATGGCGTCCAAAAAGCGTCCCTTTAGGTCAAAAGCGGTTTTAGACCGGCTAGAGAACAGCGATAGTAAATCAGAACCACTTGCAGAATTGAGTGATAATGATTCGTGGGGGAAATTCGTCATCAGACACTGAAAACGATTTTGCGACTTTGCTCAGTGATGTGCGAACTATATTTCACATTTCAGTGTTTTTGGTTTGAATATATTATTGAATTAAATTTATTATTATATTATTTTTTATGATTTATTAAATTATAATTTATGATTTCGTTTTTCAAGTTTTATCATACCCGGGATGTTTACTAGACTCTTGTTCGGACAGATTTCAGTGAGTTATTCCTAAGAATTACAGGCCTACAATATAAAACGCCAAATTTCCATGCAAAATAATGGTACCGCTTTCAGCACCAAAAATCTGAAAAATTCATACCGCCAGGGAAGTTAAAGTGCCCCCCAACCCCCCCCCCCCCCGTGCTCGCACATAGTGGTGAACGCATACGTAGGCCACGCCCACATATGTAAATAGTGTTCAAACCACACAAGTGAGGTATCGCCACAAACGTCGGAGCAAGAGCAATAATTCTCGCACTAGACCTCCTCTGTAACTTTCCACAGCTAACCCGTAGACACTTTTAAAGCATCACCCATGGAGATTTTTTAGTACTGCAGTTTCACACCGTTCCAGGAGCTTGCACAATTTTAAAGCGTGACATGTTTGGTATCTATTTACTCGCCGTAACAGCCTCTTTCATATTTTACAAAAAAAATTGGGGTATATATTGTTTTTTTTTTTTAATCAAAGAATGTATTTTTTCCAAAAAATATATATTTCTTTTTAAAACTGCGCATTTCTGTTTCAGTTTTCGGCCAAGTGCATTTTGAATTTTCGGTTTCAGCACCAGAATTTTCATTTCGGTGCACCACTACCCTTAACTTGTCCTTTATTTTCTCCATTGTGCCTTTTTACTTACTGTGTCTTGCGCTCTCTTAGTTCTGTGCCTAGCTGTCTCCCCCTTCCAAATAGTGGCAGTCCACAAAGATATTCATCACTGTAATCATCGTTTTACTTCATTATGTTTTTCACATTCAAATGTTCAGCACACAAACCTAAATATTTCTTGGGGTTAAAAATCTTCCTTTAACGATGCGCATTGCATATGTAACATTAACCTAAAATGTTTATTTTATCACCACCTGAAATGGCTCATTTTTTGGTCACATTTAGAGATCTCATAGAAACTCACTGTGAACCATAAACAGAAGGTAGCAGCATATTAACACACTCAAACCTGTGCAACAATCTATGTGAATTGATTTTTAATGCAGAATAACACAATAATATTACATGTATGACTTGTGTAATAAAACCTTAATGAGCTGATAAACTAAAATGCATGGAAATTAAAATGCTGCATGTATTCTGTATTTGTAAATGACTGTCACAGTCAGGGTTCAGGCTCAGAGACCAGTGGTCTTAGCAGTAGAGAGGCTCCCATCGGCCAGCTGGATAAGTACATCAGCAGGTTACACTGGTGGGTGACAGGTCCAAGGTGCAAGGTCTAAGCACTAACTGGTATTTACCACAGCTTCTGATGGTGGAGATGGGTTTTGCTGCCTTTTAGTACCAGGTCGCAGTCCTCAGGTTTACCCGACCAGAAGGTGAACAAGCCAGGCTCCAGTAGCAGATATAGCTGGTACACTTCAAGCAGAAGTGTAGTCGGTAAACAAGCCAAAGGTTGGTACCAAGTGGTTGCAGTTTGGGATCAAGAGGAAGCGTAGTCGAGGAACAAGCCAAAGGTTGATAACAAGTGGTAGTGGAGATAAGGACAGCTGCATGTACGCAAAGAAGCAAGATTTTGGCTGGAGAGAGCACAGTAATCTGACAAACAGGAAGTGCAAAGGCATGGCTTAAATATGAAGAGGAGCAAAGAGTTCAAGGTTCACCAGCAATGAGGTACAAGGCAGGATTGTCCAAAGGATCAGACAGGATGTTTTACAGCATCCCAGGTAGCTCAGCAAGAAGAGCTACTGCCAGATGCAGCAGAGGTTGTGGGTTCAGATTCTGGTCCTGACAATGACATTCATGTCTGTTCTATTCTCTTCCTATCCTCTCTGCTCCATCTGATCTGCTCTCCTCCTGTACACTCTGTTTTCATTCTTTATGTTCCAGTGAGTTCTCTTCTGCTCCTCTACACCCTGCTCACCTATCTGCTTTTGTCTCCATCTGCCCTTCATTTACGCTCTTCCTCTATCCCCTGCTCTTATGTTCATCACCCATTTGCTGTACTTTCCTTTTTGAACACTGTTTTTTTTTTTCAACTCAAATGTGTTTTTTTTCCCTCTTTACATGTTGCCCTTGATACAGATTGGCATTATTGTTTTTATGTTTGTTGCTCTTTTTCTTTTTTTTTTTTCTCTAGGTGATGGATGGTCGCAAGCCTACTGGGGGAAAACTGGAAGTTTTATCCCAAATTCGTGAACCTCTCACATCTCAACAACTCAGCAGCACCACTGAAAAATGGCTGGTTGTAGAGCCCATCTCTCTTCCTCCAGTAATAATTTTAAAATAATTTTATACCACATGACCTTTTTAATATGCGTGATGGCTTTAAACTCCCCAGAAATACTAACCGTGTTTATGAAAATAAGGATCAATGCTGATTCTAAAAGATTTTGAGCACTGAAATCTTCGTTAAATTAATTGTTAGGCTCCATGTACACTGCAGCTGATAAACTCACATTTAGGATCTTTTCTGCGTTTTTTTCAGCAGCCCCTGAACTCTCCCTAATGTTTTCCAATGTGTCCATGTACAGATAGTCGTTTACAGGCAGTTGAGTTTACAGTCTTTTTTTTTTTAACGCACCAAACTTGTGTTCAGGAGTAGATTTTATCAGCGTTTCAAGCACTTGTAAACACAGTTAACAGTTAAACGCTTCTAAACGCTCATAAACGCGGTATGCAAACGCAGCTAAACAGACATTTTTTAAACTACATTTTCCAGCAGTCAGTTTCCATCGTTCAGAAGTGTCCCGTGTACATGGAGCCTTAGTGAGTTGCCCAAAGTAGGAATGTAGAACACATGTTATTGTTAAAATTATGATTCTATTGCAGAAGATCTTTATAGGATTCTGGCCATAAATGCTCATGTCTTCATAGGGCCCTAGAGATATTTGCCCTTTGTCCATAGGGCCGGACCCGCTGCTGATTTCCTGTGTGCCTTACATGGTGAAGTGAAGCAACATATGTATGGTTTAACCCTCTCCAGTTACCTCCAGTCACACACAGAAAATTCCTGAAGTACTAACTGACTTCTCCTAGGGTACCCGGGAATGGCTTGGGCATCAGGTCGGGGGTTTGTTCTGGCTGCTTTGGTCACCTTAAAAATAAAGGTGATTAATACAATAAAATCAAAATGAATAGGCAAGATTAAACTTTATGAAAGGTCATGAGATGCCTAGACTCCTAGTAGAAGGTTAACAAAGATGGGTGCCAAGAGAAAACACGTAGAAAAGATGTTTCAATGAGGGAGATTTACTAAAAATGGTGCACTCAGAATCTGGAAAGCCTGAGGTTAGAAAAAAAACATTGATCTCATGCTTTTTCTCGGCTGGCCCACCAAAGACATTAATCCGGGCCAGCCGAGAAAAAAAAATCCGAAAAAAAAAAAAAACCTTGCACCGCCCAGGCAAATAGCTAGGCTGCTCGCTGGGTTCTCGGCCACGAAATGTAGAATGAAGAAATGTAAACTTCCCTTGTGATAGAAAGACCCCAGATCTCTCCTTTACCCTGGAAAGCCTGAGATTAAAAAGAACCATTGATTTCATGCTTTCCAGAAAAAAATTCCAGTATTTACACTGCCCTAACCGGAAATGACGATAGCTTTTTTTCTTCCAGTCTCTTCGACCTGAGATGATCTGGTTTCTGAACACCTCTATTGTAAGCCAGTGCATCCGCCAGATCAGATCCCAGGTTCCCTGCCAGGACGGGAAAGCTGGAGAGGCACCAGAGGGAGGGGGCCCCCTTCCTCTGCTCTGTTAGAGCAATCCAGCGGCAATTTAGCAGCTAGAATTGCTTTTATTTTGTAGAGCATTGCCGGCCAAAAACGATAACGGCTTATGGCTGAGAGCTGTGCATAGTAGCTAATCGGCTTCTAACTTCAGCTTGTTTAATTAAGCTTTGACAATAAAACCTGGAACCTGATTGGTTTCTATGCAGAGCTGCACCAGATTTTGCACCCTCCAATTTTAGTAAATAACTCCCTTTGAGACCAGATTTATTTATGCTTAGCTTGCTTCACAACCAGGAGATGACTTGAGGGAAATGTATTGTCCCCAGGAGAAGTAAGGGAAAATATCGAGCAGAGAGGGACTAATACAGCACTAAAGCATTTTTTTAGAAAAGTAGAAACAAAACTCTGTCAGTATCATAGTGTGGTCTGTGCCACTGTTGCAAATTTTCTGTAATCTCTTGTTTTGTGAACATAAGCAGAAAGTATATCTAAATGTACACAGAATAAAATATAAATAAATAACACTTCTAAGTATTCACCAAATGTAACCACTTGAAGGCCAGGCCTATTTTGACACTTCTCTTCTACATGTCAAAATCAGCATTTTTTTTGCTAAAAAATTACTTTGAACCCCCAAATGTATATTTTTTTTTTACAGAGGCCCTAGAGTAGGGGTCCTCAAACTACAGTCCTCGGGCCGGATGCGGCCCGCCAAAGACATTAATCCGGGCCAGCCGAGAAAAAAAAAATCAGAAAAAAAAAAACCTTGCGCCGCCCAGGCAAATGACTAGGCTGCTCGCTGGGTTCTCGGCCACAAAATGTAGAATGAAGAAATGTAAACTTCCCTTGTGATAGAAAGACCCCAGATCTCTCCTTTACCCTGGAAAGCCTGAGATTACAATTTCATGCTTTCCAGAAAAAAAATTCCAGTGTTTACACTGCCCTAACCGGAAAAAATGATAGCTTTTTGCTTCCAGTCTCTTCGACCAGAAATTATCTGGTTTCTGAACACCTCTATTGTAAGAAAGTGCATCCGCCAGATCAGATTTCAGGTTCCCTGCCAGGACAGAAAAGCTGGAGAGGCACCAGAGGGAAGGGGCCCCCTTCCTCCGCTCTGTAAGAGCAATCCAGCTGCTAATTAGCCACTAGAATTGCTTTTATTTTGCAGAGCATTGCCGGCTGATGAAAACGGTACCAGGCTTATGGCTGACAGATGCAGCCAGAAGACAGGTATAACCACTTAAAGTCAATCACGTACATGTATGTGATTTGGCAGCAAGTAGTTAAAGCCTAACTTCACTTTTTCCCCTGCCCTCCCACCACTTAAAAAAAATAAATTGAAATTCCTTTTATGCGTATGTTTTTTTTCTGCAGTCTTATGGCTGATCTTCTGAAGGCACTGGTCATTGCTCTTTTCCTCTACCGGTGGCAGGAGGCAGTTCTTATTTATGCACAATGCTGTACTCATGCGATATGTGAGCGCTGCGCTGTCCAGGAGTGTTGCGCCCAGGCCAAAGTTCAACCCGAAAGACGGGCAACATCTAGACGTGTAGAAGTGATCCTGCAGGAGACCACTCTGGATTGAAGATGAGCAATGCAGCAAATACTATTTTATTTTTTAAACCAGCTGAGCCTCACTTAAAAAATTTAATAACATGGAGTTGAGCTTTAAGAAAGTCATCAACTTGAAGTGGGAAAGAAAACTTTGAAATTTAGCCCTACAGAAATTTAGAAAGGTGCTCAGTTATAATTCTAAACTAACAAAATGAAAAACAGCAGAGGGGACTATTCTCTAAAAGTACACACAAAACAGTCCGCTACTTTTTTTTTTTTCTTTTTCTAAATTGCCAATTTCTTTTTCAGGTGACTGTTCCAAAACCCAAACAGCCAACACCAAATAGGTCCGGAGGCAGTAGTTCTGTATCCAAGTAAGATTATTATTATATTATTATACAGGATTTAGATAGCACCAACAGTTTGTGCAGAGCTTTACAAAATGGAGGAAGACAGTACGGTTACAATATAATTCCATACAAGAGGAATCAGAGGGCCCTGCTTGTTATAGCTTAGAATCTAAAAGGAAGCGTCAAGTGACACAGAAGGTAATAACTGGGGGGGGGGGGGGGGGGGGGGGGGGGGGGGGTGAGCTGAAGGAGAAAGTGAAAGTACAGTTATGAAAAAATATATATTTGTGTGATTTGCGAGCCAAACGTAATTATTTCAAATGGATCGCCAACATTAAACACATAACTTCAACTGTGCATATAAAATAATATACCTTTAAATGTTGCGCTCCTTAACCCCCCTGGCGGTATTCCCGAGTGTAGCTCGGGGTAAAATGTCTGTACCAAAAGCGGTAAACCCGAGCTACACTCGGGCTTACCATGCGGCGCTGCATAGGGAGTCCCTGCAGCACTTACCTTGTCCTTCGCTCCCGCGATGTGTCCCCTGCAGCGTCCCCAGCCATCTCCTCCGACTAAGGCCGGCATCCGGCTTCTGTGTTCTGGTCCCTGTGACGTCGGGACGTACGGGGGCGCCGCCGGCGGCGGCGGGAAATTTGAAGATTTAAAAAGAATTTCATTTTTTTCAAAACGATTTTACATGGTAAAACATTGCTGTTTCAACCCATTTCACATACATTTTGTCCCTACTGCTTTGTCCTGTCCCCTTTCTGCATTTTGATTGTTCTTTCTGCCTGGAAACTTAGAAAAGTCCATGGCGTCCAAAAAGTGTCCCTTTATATCAAAAGCGGGTTTAGATCAGCTAGAGAACAGCGATAGTAAATCAGAACCACTTGCAGAATTGAGTGATAATGATTCGTGGGGGAAATTCGTCATCAGACACTGAAAACGATTCTGCGACTTTGCTCAGTGATGTGCGAACTTGGCGCTATATTTCAAATTTCAGTGTTTTTGGTTTGATTATATTATTGAATTAAATGTATGATTTAGACTCTTGTTCAGACAGATTTCAGTGAGTTATTCCTAAAAATTACAGCCTACAATAAAAAAACTACATATTTCCATGCAAAATAATTGTACCGCTTTCAGCACCAAAAATATGAAATAATCATACCGCCAGGGAGGTTAATAACACAATATCAAAATATTATATCCTTCCTATAATGTGACACCCCTTAAATTTATAATAAGGGATCAATATTCATAAGTAAACAGGTTATATAAAAAATATATTATAACATCAACCCAATTTTATATATATAATAATAGTCCCATCAATCAAATATAGTCCAATATTTGTGACAAACATTATGAGTTACAGTTATGAGTTAGAGGCGGGTTAGGCCTCTCCGAAGAGATGGGCTTTCAGGGATCGCCTAAAGGTGGATGGAGTAGGAGATATACAGATCGCGGTAGAGAGTTCCAGAGGATGGGAGAGAGGCTCTGGAGAGGTCTTGGAGGCGAGCATGGGAGGAGGTGACAAGGGAGAGCAGGAGGTCTTGGGAGGAGCTAAGCTAACAATTTGGTTGATATTTTGAGTGGAGGTTGGTGATGGGGGTGGAGTTGTAGACAGCTTTGTAGGTTTTTGTTAGTATTTTACATTTTATTCATTGGGTGAGATCTCTAGAAAATTTTGTTGAAAACACTATTACATTTCAACAAGCTAACTAGCATAACCTCACAACAGATTTTTAAAAAACAGTAGCCCAATGCGTGAGAGAAACCGTGTTTATTATTAACTGTCAGAAAAGTGTATGGTAATTTCCAGTATTAGAAGCTGTGCCTGCTAAGAATTCTCAGTATGTCATAGCTGAGCCAGGAGGAAAAAAAAAAACGTCCTACTATGATTTAGTGCCCTGGTGCCTAACATGCGAGTCACATGTGGCTCACTGTAATGGGTACTTTGTAAAGTGGCAGTGGGATGCGGATTGCTGGACACACTCTGTCCCACACTGGCACTGAAATGAACCCAATACTGTCATGCAGAGTGATCTCCGCCTGACAATAGAAGTATAATCCTGGCTCCGAGCTACCAGTGAGAGCGGCCAGGAGCATGTAATATGTTAGGTAAACATTAAGGGGGTTAACGTCATTGCCACTATCCACCCATCAAGGGAGCAGGGTGGAGGGACGGGTTAACAGCACTGTGCAACTGACCATCAGTGTAGAGCAGCACTGATATGATCATCAATGCTGAAGGGGGTTTAACAGCACTGCTACTGATCACCAATGTTAGGATGTATTGCTGCGATCATTGACACCAAAGCTGGGGGATAATATCGTGGCAACAGACACCAGGTTGTTCTTGTGGTCACCTGTACCAATGCAGGGATTATTATTGTGTCAGCTGATCCCAATGCGGGGGGTTATTATTGCATCTGCTGATCCCAATGCGGGGGGTTATTATTGCATCTGCTGACCCCAATGCTGGGGGTTATTATTGCATCTGCTGACCCCAATGCGGGGGGTTATTATTGCATCTGCTGTTTCCTGACACTAATGCTGTGGGTAATATTCTGTCTACTAACCCCAGTGCTAGGGTTTTCTATTGTGTCCACTTACACCAATACTGGAAGCTATTATTGCGGCCACTTGCACCAATGCTGAGTGTTCTTATTGGGGTATCTGACATCAGTGCCTAGGGGTAATTATTGCAGTCACTGGCAGTAATGCAGGGGGTTATTATTGCAGCCAATGATAGGAATTGCTATTCCTGCCACTGACACCAACCATGAGGAACGTGTTTTACTCCCACTTTCTTGTTGTGTCTAAAAATACATCAGGACTGAAATTTATGGCTGTTGAGGAGCATTACAGTCTATTTTATTTTTATTACAGGTCCTTATAGAATGTCGTCAATTTATGCAGCGCTTTACTTATATATATTGTACATTCACATCAGTCCCTAACCCTCAAGGGGTGTACAATCTAAGGTCCCTAACTCACATTCATACATACACATACTAGGGACCATTTAGAGAGAAGCCAATTAACCTACCAGCATGTCTTTGGAATGTGGGAGGAAACCGGAGTACCCGGAGGAAACCCATGCAGCCACAGGGAGACCATGCAAACTCCAGGTGGTTCCGTGGTTGGGATTGGAACCAACAACCCTGGAACTGCCAGGCGGAAGTGCTAACCATTTAGCCACTGTGCTGCCCCATTTATTTTTGAATGGGCTGCCTAATACTGTGCAATGTACTTCAATGCACAAGAATACAAAGAAAAACAAACAGAGAGCGCACCGGCCTAGTGCATTAGTGTACAAAATTTATTGGAAGGATAAAAAGTAAGTATTGTACTCACAATAGGCAAACCGGTCAAAGGCACATTGCATATAAGTCCAAAAAATGGAACCCTGGACTTCCAATAGGCTAACGAATTTCGAGGTCTTAACCTCTTCCTCAGAGCCACCAATGGGCAATGACTTATATGCAGTGTGGATTGGACACCGCTGTTTAGTGTGATGTGCCTTTGACCTATTTGCCTATTGTGAGTACGATACTTACTTTTTATCCTTCCAATACTTTTTTTTTTACGATAATGCACTAGGCCGGTGCGCCCTCTGTTTTTCTTTGTATCCAGTAACGTTGGACTACCCTGGTCCGTTGAGGGCAGCAAGGAGTGCATTTTCCAGGATATCTGTGATGTTACCATAATCCTAACCGAGTCCATCCCGAAGCGCAGGAGGACAGAGTTTGCTGTGTTTTTCGTAATGCACAATTATTATTATTACATCGCGTTTATATAGCGCCAAAGGGTTTGCTCAGCGCTGTACAATAGAGGGGGGGACAATACATGAAACAGTACAGCAACAACAAACAGCACACGAGGGGTAAGAGGGCCCTACTCTTTCGAGCTTACAATCTAGGAGGGAGGGGGTAGTGGCACAGGAGGAAGTGGCTGTGGGGGATGGAGTGGAAGGAGGAATGAAGGAGGACGGCTGTTAGGTAAGGGTGGAGTAGGCTTCCCTGAAGAGGTGGGTTTTCAGGGAGCGCCTGAAGGTGAGGAGGGAAGGCGACAATCTGATGGATTGGGGTAGTGAGTTCCAGAGGATGGGGGAGGACCTGGAGAAGTCTTGCAGTTGTGCGTGGGAGGAGGAGACCAGGGAGCAAGACAGAAGGAGGTCCTGTGAGGAGCGAAGGGTACGGGTTGGGTGGTACTTGGGAATCAGGTTGGCGAGGTAGTTAGGGGCAGTGTTGTGAATGGCTTTGTAGGTCAGGGTTAGCAGTTTGAATTTGATGCGTTGGGCAACCGGTAGCCAGTGGAGGGATAGGCAGAGGGGGGTGGCAGAGGTGGACAATAATAAGCTGCCTTTGTGCAGCCCTTTAGAAGTGTTGGGGAATGCATGTAGGCCCATTCTAACCACCACTGATTTAGTGGGAACTTCTGTAGGGATTTACAGAAACCATGTAAATGGATTTCTCGTTAGCTGCCTTCTCTTTGCAGGCAATCTGATAAATGCCTCCATGTAGCAATGTCAGCTCCTCATTGTTAAATAATTTTTTTTACTAAAAATCCATATCAAGGGATTATCTATATCGGCAATACATTCTCTCCAATAAAACGTTGCTGAACATTCTGAGACCTATGTTCCAGTACTACATCAAAAACAAAGATTATTGTATTGCCTAAAGCAATTTTTAAAGCATTTTTTTTTCTTTTAAGCTGATCCATGTTTGCCTAAACCTGAACTACAAAGGTGACAGATGGGTTTCATTATCATTGAACAATGAGGCCCAGTGTGTCAAAATTCTTATTGAAAGGCATGCCTATTGATTTGTTGGGGGAGGGGCATACCATTGCTCTGACCTGTGGGTGAAGTCAGAGTTTGCAAATGGCATGTGCTTAGGCTCCTAGCAGAAGATTTTATTAGAGCGCATGGTATGTGCAGACTCCTTGTGGGGCATGCCAATACATTTATTTATTTCAGGTATTTATTTAGCGCCATCAATTTACGCAGCGCTTTACTACTTATATATATTGTACATTCACATCAGTCCCTAACCCTCAAGGGGTGTACAATCTAAGGTCCCTAACTCTCATTCATACATACACATACTAGGGACAATTTAGACAGGAGCCAATTAACCTACCAGCATGTATTTGGAGTGTGGGAGGAAACCGGAGTACCCGGAGGAAACCCACGCAGGTACAGGGAGAACATGCAAACTCCAGGCAGGTGGTGCCATGGTTGGGATTCGAACCAATGACCTGAGTACTGCCAGGCAGAAGTGCTAACCATTTAGCCACTGTGCTGCCCCAGCTTCTCGGCCTTTTGGCTAAGATCAAGTGTAGTATCTGTTCTTATCAGTGTCCAGTGGGGGTGCTCCCGGCCATTCTAGCTTTGCAGGGATGGCTGTTGTATAGTACCCTCACTGGTATGATAGGGGTCTGGAAGGCTAGTACCGGGGGGACAGAAAGCGTGGTGCCCACAAGTAGAAGCTTGGGCCCGTGAGTAATTCCCCCGAGAAGACCGGAAGGACCCAGTACCTCCTGATTTGGACGGATCTACCTTGTCTGGCCAGGGGCTGGGAAGGCAGAAAGTCCGCAAACCAGTGCCCCCTGAGTAG